TGAAGGCAGCTTAACTGTTTTCCTATGGAGGAGTTGCCATGAATTGGCTCTGAATGGAGAATATACTAATTTTATGAAATTACAATAGATGGTTTCTTGAATTAAGTCTATTGGAATATTTTGTCCTATGTCTTTGCCACTATAGCAAGACAATATGTCTATAGAATTATAGAATGTTTTCAAATAGTTCTAAATCATTACATTTCAAGAATACCTAAGAAAACCAGCATATGTAGAAGACAGGGCATATGTTGCCTCCACTGAAAAAACCCTTTTCTATCTTAAAGGGAAGGGATTTTTCCATGTCTTTAATCTTTTCATCTGTAGTTGAATTATAAATTGACAAGAGCATTCCAGACTTGGTCTACCTGGGTCACTCTAGGCCATGAAAGCACTCATCTTAGTCATCTGTGAAAACAAAAACCAGATCCTCTGGACCTTTAGACTATGACTATCATTCCACAGAAGCCACATTGGACTACCACTAATAAGTATATCGATATAACCCAATGTTGTAGTTTAATGGAATGTTGCATTGCTGTCAAATCAAGATTTTTAGGGACTCATAATGGGCATCTCCAAAGGCCTACATTCTGTTTATTCAACTCTATATAAACTGCATTGCCATTAAAAATGGTGAATGAAGAGCAACCTTCTCAGTTTTAATTTTTAAGGAGTTTCAAGAAATAATAATCACACACACACACACACATTCACAACTTCATTTTATCAGTGGCTATTATTGTAAAAGAAGGTAAATGATCTGTTTAGAAAGCATGCAACCTCAAGAGCAGTAGCAGCCAGTAACTGTGGCCATGATATAGTCAAGGAGGGAATCTATAGGAAGTAGAAGGTCTATGTCTTGCTCTTGAAGTATGCAAACCTCAGCCCATAAAGTAGAGCTGTTTGCAATTGCTCACAATGACTATTAAAAGTTCAAAGATTCAAAAACATCATCCCACAGGAAGTCTAAATGTTATGTCTGACTGAAAATGATTAGAAAGAGAATTCTGGATAAAACATTTTAAGTTTCTGCAACAAAATACAGAGGCACATGAGCACTTTGAATCCAGGATTCATAACTGAGTGGTAGGTCCACGTATTGTGTGAAGATGATAAGAATAGTATGTACATGCTATGAGCTCAGAGATTCAGAATCAGGTTCCAGAAAGCTTATTGTAGGTCAATTACTAAAAACTTTATATCATTTCACCAAGAGAAGCGACTATTTACTGTTATAGTTTCTTGATCTCTGTTTTTGAGTAGATGTGAATTGTCAAGGAGAGATAGCTCTTGAGTCTTGCACGTACATCTCAAAAATACATACTTATTGCATATATGTAGGCATTACAAAAATAATAAAGACATCCTAAGCAATTCCCATATTTGTTTGATAGCTTACCTAATTCAAAGTAATATTGTAAAGCACAGTCACACCCTGCTAAAGCAAAGGTTTGTATCAAGTGATACTTACCTAGTTTACCCACTGCAGGCATTAGTATCTTTAGTATCTTGAAACTAATAGCCCAATGTATATATTTGTAACAATATCTGAAGGTATGAGTTATATCTTATGACATTACTTTAATCATAGCTACATAAATAGGAAACATAAAAATCTGCTAGAAAGTCTGGTTCTTTCTGAGCTCTTTAGGTCATTGTTGTTAAAGCTTTCATCTTTAGTCACAATTCCCTCCCCCCCCCCCCCCCCCCCCGCCATTTTTCTGATCTCCTTTTCACTCATTATTTCCTTGTTCCTTTTTCCTTGGTCAATGTGGAGAAGCTGTCCTTCACGTGATCCCGCTCAATGTGCTCGTCCCAATCTCTCTCTGCTTATCTCCATAGGTCAGACCAGTTCTTTTCCGAGCCGGAACATTCTGTTCTCTTCACAGGCAATGTTCTATTCCATTGTGTTTGGCCATAATCTGTAACTAACTCTGTGATGTAGAAGGGCTTTATCTTGACCCCTTTGTGAAGAAGCATACTTTCTAACTTAGGCAAGGCCTCTAACTCAGGCAAGGCCGACTGGCATTTGTCTTTGTAGGTGTGCTACTGCTAAATGCCTCTAGTAATGCCTGCCAGCTCCCCCCCCACCCCCCCACCCCCACCCCCGGTGTTTGTTGTCAGTGGTCATATCGGCTTGTACACAGTATCAATTCATTTAATCTTTACAACAATCCCTTACAAAGATTAAATTGTGCCTCAAGGTAAATGATTAATAAAAATACAGAACACACAAAAAGCAGAATCATTATGCGAACCTGAGATATCCAATTTACATGTGAGACTGTTTCCTTTAGAAAAGATCGAAAGTCTGCACAACTCAAAAATGATTAGAACCTTGGCATCTATCACTTCAACTTGTAATAAGAGACTTTATTCTTGTTTTCTTCTTTGGCTGTTTCCTGACTGGCCACTTTACATAAAGTCTTCATCATTTCTCTACTTAGAATTTAAACAGTTCCAGTGAATGAAAACAGAAGCAAGCAATTCTTTATAATGCAATATATGCACAATCATGCAGCACTTAAATTTGGACAGTGCACACTATTATGCACTAGCAAAATTATGGACTAGCAAACCAAAGTTATCGAATTAAAACAAAATTATTCTTTTTGTATGTGTGTGTTGCTTGGAATTGAACTTAGAACCTTCTACATGCAAGGCAAATGCTCTGCTTTTGAGCTATATCCCCAGTCCTAAAAGAAAATAATTCTTTAGAATAAAATATTATTCATATAGAAGTGAAAAAAGATAATTTTAATTATAATTATAGATTTATTTCTTTGAGTTTAAAGGAAATCCTTAGGAATACTCAGTTTCAAGGATAAGCACTGTTGCTTGAAGGATTTCTTTATCTCTAATGATGTTACATGAGGAATTCTGGCATTAGACTAAGAACATGACCCACAGTACTTATCAAACTTGATAATTTATTTTCTGGAAAGTATTTTCTTATCAGATCCAGCATATTAAAAATATTGACAAAAGAAAAGTCAAGGACATAGAAAAATGTTTGTTTATTCATACTAAAGTTTTAGAAGTATTGCCAAAATGGCCTCAGTGGGATAAAACGATAATGATCAATACATTTTTTTCTTATTTAAAAATGTTTAGGAAGGGGTTAGAGAGGTGATAAAATCAGTCTGTTCCCAGCACCTATGTTGGGTGGCTCACACCCACCTATAACTACAGCGCTAGGAGTTGCTATACCCTCTTCTGTCCTCCATTAGCACCATGCTAATATGACATATACATAAGCACATGCACACATGTGTAAAAATTAAAAATAAATCTGAAAATATGCATTTATGATAACATCTCCAAGTATAGACAGAATCTGTCATTTTGAACAATTGTGTGTTATTGGTGAAAGTTTAATAATGTAGCATAAAGAATTGTTTCTAATCCCCAAATGTGACTTGTTCATTGCTTTGTGGAGTACTATTAAGCAATGCATCAATCATGAGGCTAAGATGAAAAATAGTACCCAAATTTGGGATTCACTCTGGCCAATAATTTTTTTTAAATGCATAGTTACTAAACATATTCAGAAAATAGGAAACTTGAATTAAATTATACACTCATAGTCAAGATGAACATACTTACTCTTCCTTAGGAAAAATAGGGCAAGACAGACGATTCAGATATATATCAATTGGTTTGTATTTTCTAAAGAAATGTAAGGTACATTGTTGCTTGCATTTTGGTTTCGTGAGAACAGTATGCTGAGGGGTTCATGCTTTTCCCTAGTGGCTTCCTCGTGTTCTTCTTAGCCACATGATTTGGACTGAGATAACCTAGTTGAAATGGTTGAGACAAGTAAAACAACTGAAGTGCTTATAAAACTGATCATCTTTAGTTTAACAAAACATTACCGTTTGAAATTCAGACTTTTTGACATTCAAGTTTGGTGCCCAGTTTGACATATCTGCACCACTAATTCCAAATAATAGTAAGATATACCACAACCAATGTGTTCGCTTTATTTTAATATTTTATGCATGGTTTTTACAAAACACATTCCAGTGTGATTGGCTGTAATTTTTTTAAATGAAGTTCTTGTCAATTATCTTTGATATCGTGTGTATTTACATGAGTGTGTGTGTGTGTGTGTGTGTGTGTGTGTGTGTGTGTGTGTGTGTGTGTGTGTAAAGTGAGGAATAACCTTAACAAATGCATTGGAGAACTTTTCATCTCATTATTCTAGAGTTCCAACAATAAATTTCTGTTCAATTAAGAAAATAAAATGTATCTATTAAGCCATTTCTGTCATGCTAGACAGAGTTCTCTAACAACTTTGTTTATTTACACAGTAGTTAATAATTTTAAGCCTGATGCTACTGTTCTTCCACTGCATTGAGACACAGATACATGTTGTTCTTTAGCTTTCTGCCAAGCCATTAACAAGATGGCTTCCATAACTCTTGTTCTAGGGATTTATTAATAAATATTACCTCATGGATTTGCTTTCTAATTTCATTTCCCTTTTATGTCTGTAATTTACTGCATTTTAGCCTCTTGTAGTTAGTTTAAAATTACTTCCATTCCTTATTTTAGTATATAATTAAAGTACCTTCTGTTTTAGTTTCAATAAAGATGTTTTAAACTAACTTAACTGCCATAATATAAAATAGATAAATTTTATCAGTTAACTCAAAGTATCTACTTCTAAAACTAATGTTTTTCAAGTTTTCTAATATTTTTGTAGAGAATTCATTTAATATTCTGTAGCATGAAGGTAGTATTGTTGTTATTGATATTTTTCCACAAAATAATTAATTACAATATTGGGTAGGTTCTATTTGTTTCAACTTGGATTCACTTTTTAAAAAATGTTATTAAAAACAGAGTCTTCTCTCATACAATACAACCCAACCACAGTTTCCTCTCCCTCTCCTCCCCTTGCCCCCTCCTCCATTTTAATATTTAAATGCCATGCATGCTTCAATTCTGCTTTTTGAGAACAATTTTGTTTTGTTTAATTGTTATTTTTGCAGAACATGGTTGGAGAGTGGGCCTTACCAGAAGACATGGCTAACAGTTCACCACCCTCCAACAATTACATATTGGGACATGTGCTTCAGAGATTAATTGAAAAATCTATCCCCTCTCAAGATGCTGCAGCAGAAACTGAATTACCTTCATATGCTGTGAAGGGATGCTTGCTGGGGAAAACCCTCAGTGGAAAAACTACTGTTCTAAAGGCTCTACAAGAAGGTGTTTCCTTCCTTTTTCTTTTCCTTATTAGATTCTATTTATATTGACTGTAGCCACAACTGTCTATGTCTGGAAGAGTCATACCAGAGATTCTATTTCGAGAATAGCTCTCATCAAAATTTTATAGTAGTAAAATAAAATGACTGATTTTTCCATATACAAGAACAAGGTACTGGTACATGCTTCAAAATGTTCAATCTTGCCAGCATTATGCTAAGTAATAGAAACCAGAGACAGAAGGTAACATAAATTTAACTTATGTGAGGTGTCTCAAAATAGACAAATCCATGCAGATAGAAAATGATTCATGTTTACTGGGACCACGGATTGGGGAAGAGGTATGCCAGCGTAATAGGTGAGGATTTCTTTTTGAGGTGAGATGATAAATAACTGAATAAGGTAATTAATCATGATGATCACCCAGCTTAGTGGATTTTTCAGTGCCACTGAGTTGAACCCTTTCAACTGGCTAAAGTGATTTTATTCCATGTAATGTAAATTTTATTACAAGGAAAAAAATAGCTTAATCCAAGGGACAACTCTGGAGAGAGCAGGGTGAGACTGTTAAAGCAGAATACATATGCAATAGTACCAGTTCTCAGAAGGCAAGGATATATAAAAAACTGTCTTTTGTACTTTAGACTTTTCTATTCAGGTACTTTCTATTGATACTCTTGTCCTGGAAGCTATCCGGGCATTTCATGACAATGAACAAGCCAGTGGGATAAAACCAGTTCGGAAAGAACACAAAGGAGATCCTCTATCAGGCGTGAAAGAAATTAGCAGAAGACAGGCAAGTGTGATTTTGGTTTTCTTCAGCTGGTACACTACAGATATAGATTAGGATAGAATCCAAAGATCATCCAGGAAAAATACAAAGGGTGAATAGTTTAGGTTCTACAGACCAAGAAGCAAGAGAGGGTATTCTCCTCCTAACTCTACTGTAGTGGTATTAGCTCAGCCCATGACCTTGGGCTATAGGGTCCGACAAGACAGTGCTTCCTGCGGCTGGATTTGACCTCTTAAAAGGAGAGGGAGAAAGGTCCTCCCTGCTCCTGCCTGTGAGGTGGAGTCACTCCTGGTCAGATCAGAGGATGACTTCAACTGTCCACTATGTTCTGTAATTATGAGTGTATTTCCTCAATTTATATTTTAATAAATCCCTATTATCCATTATATAGACTCATGTGGATTGATCTTAATAAGCATGCCCCTTCTCCCTGCCCCTTTTAAGAGGTCATATACAATGGCAGGAAGCACTTCCTTTTGGGGGCCCTATAGTCCAAGGTCATGGGCGGAGCAAATACCACTACACTCTACCCCATTAAATTGATTTGCCTGGGTGGACCATCCAGAGTAGTGAGGTCATTTGAATTCTATGGCAAAAGATGAAGATGCTATCCAGAGGCAGGAGCTGCCAGATGAATGGGGTTTGTAGAAGGCTGGAATTTACATATATGGAATGGCAATTGTTAGGAGAGTGGCCTACATCTGCATCTAAGATCACTAAGTCTTAGACTGACGTTCCACCACTCAGAGTCAGGAAGTTGAGAGCAATGAGTTTCCCAATATGTAGACTATACAGCTGGACCTTGGTAGTGGATCAGACATGTGTTGGACCCCCACATGGTTAAGTATAGAATAGGACACATGGCTTGGTCTCTAGGCTCACAATAGGAGGCTGCTTGAATGATATCCAGGAACCATATGAAAACAGCTAGTTGGATCAATTTAGTCCACAGCTAGAGTATACCAACCTATGACATATTTCAGTTAGGCTAGGGGTACAGGCAGAATTCCAAGTGGCTTAAATTAATCACATTTTCATTATTTAAAATCAATATTGCAATTTGTTATAATATTTCATAAAAATATAATCCTACTTGTTTGGGGGTCAGAAGAGTATTGTGTGACTTTAAGAACCACTGACATGGTTCAGCTCTCAGGTTTTCTAGAGACAGTAGTAGAGACCCTACATATGGATTAGTTTTCTCAAAGTCAGAGACTTGTGGAAGCCTGCATTATTGAATCTTAGATTTGAAGTCCACTACTCTTTCTCTTACCTCACGTTGTCTAGCTATTGAATCAATTGACAAAGAATCTACTCTAAATGATTTTCATTTACAAGACAAATAGTAGTAAATCATGAGCTATGAAAATTTGTTTCATTGTGTGGTTCTTTCTTCTTTCCCATTATGGCAAACTTGCATTTAATCAAAAGTAAAGGATAATACACATTTTCTTGCTTATTTATCTATGGCCATGACTGACAGCTTTAGGATTATTCATTTAATATGGTTTTTTCTATAAACAACACATTTCCCCTGTTCCTTTTTTTAATTTCCAAAACAGTAGTTCCTTTATTTTCATAGAAATTGAAAGCCATTGAAAGATTACACAGCACAGGTAACTCTGTTTCTCTTATAAATTCAATACTCACCAAATTTTGTTTGCCTTTGGAAATCACCATTTAGGATAGAAATTTCAACCCAGTTTAATATCATTAATGTAGAGAAAGCAGTTTACTCTCAAAACCTAACTGAAAGAAATGAAATGGAAATGGAATGAAAACATGACCATATTAAAACTGTGTGTTTGCTTTTTTTTTTTTACCATAGGTGCAAGATTCGTTATCAGTTCCTCCAGCTTCAGGGACAGAGATAACCCTAAAAGAAGGTAAAGCTTTATAGCTAGCAAGTAATGTGTCGAAGCAAGTCATCCACCATTTATATTGCAGCATGACAGAGAGAAATACAGAAACAGTAAGAGTGCATGTATGTAACGACAAACATGATTCCAGGGGAAGAAATGGTGAACAGTGGATAATTGAATACTTCTCTGTGTGGTTATTGATACAGTGCAAGGTAGTCATTGCCCACATTTGAAGAGAAAGGTGAAATTACAATGAATATTTTCATTCTCTTCCTTGAAGTAGTTACTCACTTTTGCCTTTATGAAAGCAACCAGGAGACATCACGTTCACTCACCACTTTCTTGGTTTCTTGATTTTTTTTTCCTTTTTGCCTATTCAAGTGTGTATGAGAGAGTAACATCAGAGCTCTGTGCATAGAGGAAGACTTCAGACTCTGTTCTCTTCAACTCCTGAGAACAGTGGTCCTTATTCATTAAACTGGGCTGGCTCTTATTCTTTGACAATAGCAATAGAATGGAGTTTACTAACCCCAACTACAAGATCTCTCCTTGGGAATCAGATTATTTGTATAATCTCTTAAGGAAAACAGTTTAAGTATTAAATGACTTTTCTCTGTGTGTTAGTGCAGCTTTTAATGTATTTCAATTTGTTTATATTTTATTATAAAGCTCAGTTCCTCTTGCGTGATCACTGTTATATACTGTCACTATAGAATTATGCACAGATTTGAAATAATTGTGCAGTTTTTTCTAAGGTGGCTTTTCTATTTCTTTTGAATGGCACTCTCTTCCTTTTTCCAGTGATTTTGCATCTTAAGAGATTATTTTAATATTACTATTGTGACTTTTCCCTATAAATATATTCTGAAAACATTTTTCCATGTAATTTAACTAAAAGCCCATTCTAATTTCTAAATGTTTCTAAAATGTTTCTTATCTATAACTTCACAATCCAGGAAAGTAAACGTGTAGTGAATTAACATTTTGATATTTTCTTGAGAAAGCTGGTTTGGTTAACAAAGAAGAAACTGAAGTTGTATATTTTGAATTTGTTATGAGCTCAGACCATGCCAGGAAGGAAGTGGGAAGCTTCCAGCCACACAGTGGCCAGGATCTGAAGGGCTGTGGACTGAAAGTACAAGCCCTGATGTAGTGCTTATATTGCATCCTTACTGAGTGTATCAGCCATGGCTGAGTCGGATGCCCTTATTCCCTAGCCAGAGAGGGCCAAGTGCTGGCATGGTTTTTAAATGCAAATGCTGGGACTTTGTTCTTACTACTTTCCTGTTAATAGGTGTCAGGAGCAGTGAAGCTGAAGGTGTCAAACCAAGTGACAGTTTTTTAAGTGTAAGTATTATAATCTAATTTTGCCTACTCAGACGTTAAAATGTGTCCTAGTTTGTATTCTTTTGAAATATGTTCAGATGGCATGAACTAACAATATCCTTCTATTTGGTTTTAAATTATGTTTGATAGAAGAGTGGTTAATACTTTCTATGATGTTGTTTATATTTTTAATATTTTTCTGACTAAAGCAGTAGAAATTACTATGCCATTTTACCAGGTTAGAAAAGTTATACATATGATTTTTTTTTAATTCACTTGATAGTATTTCTTAAGGAAACTAGTATTTTCATAAACAGTATTGGTTAAATTTTTGGGAAATAATGGCATAATTAATCTCGTGTTTTGATTACTTTTTTATGACACATGATTGTTTTATGATAAATTTCATCATGGCAAACAAGTTTATCATTCAGATTTCAGAATTGATTAAATATAAAAAAATGTTGGTTCTGCAACCAAGCAATCAACATTATGGCTTATTGAGAGAAAAAACAATGAGTAGAGCACTGTAACTTTTATCTATTCATTTGAAATATGAATTAACAGGAAGTCTGGGTTTATTTCTCTAGTTTTACTTACTGATTTGTGAAAGCATCCAAATCCATATTCAGTTCAGTTCAAAAGAACATGCTCTTCCCTGTGTGCTGTAGTATTTGGCTATATAAAAAAAAAAAAATAAGAGAGTTCTCTGCTCTTATGGAGTTCACATTCTAATAGAGGTGGGCAGGTAATCAGCCATAAACACTAGTCGATGAACTGAAGAGCATGGTAAAAATATGATCAGGTTCAGGAAAAAAATGAAAAGTAGAGGACAGCAGCATTTGGGGGAGGGGAAGGAGAGAGTGCTCCTGTACTAAATTAAGGTAGACCCACTGGAGAAAGCATGACTTAGGCAAATTGAAAAAGGTAAGAGAATTAGTCAACTGGATGTAGGAAGCCTCTCCAGCAACATGAGTGGGTAGATTGTCACAGGGTGACCAACGTGCTTAACAAAGGCTGAGATCAGAAAGAGAAATGAGTCTGGTCTGTCAGAGCTTGAGAAATAACTATTATTATCACATTTGTCATAAGAGTATGCTGGTTTGGAGTTGAGCTAGAGTCTCATTTGATATAAAAATACTCCCAATGCCTGAGTGAAGAGCAGGCTCCCAAGAAGCTCATGTTCTGTGACATTATATAGCTTGTACAGAAATAACCCCTTATAAATATCATACTTACTAATTCTGGACAAAACCAAAAAGTTAATCACTAGAGTGAGCTTGTGATAGGAAAAGAAAGTGCAATCATCAAGGCAGAAGAAAAATGGAGTTGAAAATCTGGAATGTGATCACTGAAAGAAAACCATGTGGGTATGTGTCTTCCCAGAGGGCATTCTCCCATTGATATGAGTGGTTAGAACTGAATCGTTATGATTGAAAGCGTTAGGAGATAAAATCAGGCATGCCAGAGCAGCTGAAAATTAGAGGAGAAGATCTCAGAATGAAAGGAACTCCAAAGAAAATGTGTCAAAATTGGTACAGATCTTCCTTGAGTACTTCCCTGGCTCCAAAAGTATGGTAAGTCCTCAGTATCTTCATTAGAGAGTGTGGATACTAAATTGTTTAACTCCAGACATCTTGAAGGGAACAGGACTTTTCAGTCGGCTCTCTCCTACCCTTCTTCCTTTCTCTCCACAGCTCACTGTGCGAGCTCAACTTGGTGCAAAGTCAGAACAATTGCTTAAAAAAGGACGGAGCATCCCAGACATACTGCTGGTTAACATCTTGGTAAATGCTATCAAGTATGTATTGCAGTTTCCTTTCTCATACCTATTTAATATATTCTTTTTTCCTACGTGTATAGATGTATGTGCTTATGTGTGATCTACGTGTTTATGTGCATGTGTGTGAGAATGTGCATGCAAATGGTATAGAGGTTGATGTCAGGAATTGTCTCCTCTTTCTTTCCTAATCCTTTGAATTGGAGTCTCAGTCCAACCTTGAGCTGCACAAAAAAGTTAGTCTCTCTAGCCAGCCTACTTGGAGATCCCTTGTCTCCAACTTTTAAGGGCAGGATTATAGTTGGGTCCCCCACACCCAGCCAGCATTTACCTGAGTTCTGAGAATCTGAGCTCCTGTTGTCATGCTTGCCTGGCAAACACTTTAATTGCTGAGCAGCTGTCTCCCTATCCCATTTCATGTATTGTTTACTACAAAACGATATGTGAAGAATAATACAGAGATGCAACTTTTTAGTATACAAATGTTTCTAATATCCAAATTAGTCCTAAGATAAAAGGAAAATATATAGATTTACATGCCTATATCACTCTTCTCTCTTACCAACCTTGGCTTCTACCTGATGTAAATGTGAGTCAACTTCCAGTATCTTTGGGGAATGCGAGGAGATTGGGCAATTAGATAAGCCAAAGGACAAGTTGCGGGAAAGGAGATCCCACCTGAATGGGCACAGGTTTCTGCACTTGCTTGTGTTACGTTTCGGGAAGAGGGCAGGGATAGAGTCCAGGGATGCGGAGGCTAAGCAGTACTAAGACAGCAGGAGGTAGGACACAGGCTAGACAAAGCACATACATGTAACACCTGGAGGGTGTGTGATAGGGGGAAAGAGAAAAGTTCAGAGCCCGCGTTTTGTAATTCCTCTGTTCTCCTTTCTATAGAGAAAAGATTCCTCTCAACCTCGCTTTGTTATACATGTTTATTACAAAGAGGCCAGTTGGTCTGTATAATAAAGGAAAGAATCCACACAGGATGAGAAAAAAAGAGTAAAGGGTTCTGTTGAAAGAATCGGGTGGTGGAAATGGAATTGCTTAGCTGTGGTATGTGGGAACCATTATGACACAGAGGAAGGAGAGTTGATAGAATTTTTACTATCCTTCTGGGATGAGCTCCTCCATTATGTTATCTTAAAAGACTGCTTTCAAGATTTAAGGTGCTTCTCACTCTTGTATCTAGCAACTGGAACTCAAGGCTGCTACCCTTAGAGCTGGAGGGATTCTGATGCTCACATTTCCCAGAACTGACATAAAGTACACTTTACCACAGTGCTCTTTGTTCGTGGAGCAAATGAATATGCAAAACAGCAAGCAGCCCTTCACTTGAGTTTCAGTGGATCTGGAGGATCCACACTCCACAGCACAATCACCATCATACCTCTTAAGACACCTCCAGAGAACTGTCATAAGTTTAAAATCTTCTGGTCTAGTCCAATGAGCAAAAGAACATTAGATGTTCTGGTTAGTGATGTAACAAAATCTAAAGCCAGGTCTCATGGCTCCCCGATGTCTGCTGTCTCGCTCTAGCATTGAATGAGTGTAGCTCTAAGTTCTACCTCTGTTGTGGCTACTGAGATGGCAGATCTCAGAAGTGGTCAAGCATTTAAAGGAACTCTCTTCTCTGTCTTAGGCAAATAAATTAGTAAGTCCAGTCTGTGCCAAATGCTTGATCTCTCTCTGGAGAAGACATGAAAGTAAAATGCACTCTTTTCCTGCTCATGATAACCTAGTAGAGGAGATGAAGGCAGGTGCCAGAAGGAAGTGTGCAACTGTGCTGAGAATCGTCAGACAGGAGGCCATTTGTAGTTTTATTGCTTTTGATCAAGTTATGAAATCTTTCTGAACTTAGTCCCCTCTTCCTCCTGCTACATTGTCAGAATGAGTGCATGTAGGCACCGAAAGACTTAGAAACTTCAGGAAATGTGATTCTGACATTTAATACAAGAGCTAGCATAGCAATAAATAAAGTCACACCTTTAAAATATAAGAGAAAATCAATTGTGTGTAATTTGAATATGTAACAGAACAAAGTTGATACCTAAATCCTTTTTAATATAGGTTGTACATTGTCTATCGAAGATAACGTGCTGAGTGAAAAAAGATAAGACCCTTAGTACTCAGAAATTTATAATGCAACTTAATATAATTTTTAAAAGAATAACTTTAATTTTTATGGCAAGACTATTTTATTCATATGGTGAAATTAGTGAGAGTGTAAAGAGTTAAAATCAGCCTGTTACAGGAGTTGGAAGGGTGAGGACACCCTTCCAGGTTGGCAATGAGAGTGTTCAGTATGGGCTAAGATCTGTATTGGACTTATTAAATATGCCATTTCTGTTCATCTTCACAAACTCCTAATGAGATAATTTACAGTACCCCATTGTATAGATGAGGAACTTGAAGTACTGAGGAAGTGCAGCCTACGAGCATAAAGTAAATAATGCCACGTGTATTCACATAATAGTGAAGGCATCTGCTTGTAAGCATTTGAAATTGTGAGAGTTTAGAAGTTTGGGAGAAATAAGTCATGGTCATTTAGTTTTAAATAGGATGATAAGGCTTCTGAAATAGATTTGGAGGACAACAGGGACTCACAGAAGGATTTTAAACAAATCATTGATCAGAACACATTGGAAAACCTGATGTTTTAGCTATAAAATCCTGAAACTCATGCAATAGGATGAATCTGCAATGAAGATAAAGGCATTCATTGTATTACTAACTTCCATAAAGTAACGGTGTCTAGCAACATGCTAATGAATTGTGCTGTTTGAATTTAGGAATATGCCCGTGAATCAAAGCTGGGTTCTTGATGGGTTTCCAATGACATTAAACCAAGCTCAGCTTCTGGAAGAAGCATTGACAGGCTACAAAAAAAAATGCAAAGAGGCCAAGAAAAAGAAAGCCCAGATGCCCACCCTGGCCTTGGGCCCTACCCCTTCCAAAGAAGCCACTCCGCTCCCATCTGCATTCGACTTTGTCATATTACTAGATATTTCAGATAATACATCACTGGATCGCATGAATGATATCATAGGTAAGCCAAATGCCTTGATTTTAAATTTTTATACTTTTTCATAATGAAAAGTGCTTTTAAAATTTGTTTCCTTGACTCTATTTTTCTTTTTTTTGTTTTGTTTTTTGCTTTTGTTTCTGTTTTTGTTTATTTTTTTTTTTTGAAGAGCAAGAGAACATAAAATTGGGTGGGCAAGAAGATGATCAGGATCTGAGAGAATTTGCGGGGAGGAAAAAACATGATCAAAATATACTATATGAAGAAAAAATTAAATAAAAATTATTCTTTGACTAAGTGAATATTTCCATTTAAAAGTATAAGAAAGAATTTATTTAATTGAGCATTCAAAGGATTACCCAATTGAGTTCATCGTTCCTTGTTTTAACTGTCAGTATTGACTATTAGCCAAACCTGGGACTAAGAGAGAATTCTAGGCCAATTATAATAAGCATTTTGCTGAAACTTTACATCAAATTGACAGTTCTCCATGCCCAAGTTTCCTCTGTGATATTTGTACACATGGAGAAGCAATTTGTAGCTAGTTCATATCATAATGATGTTGACAAAACTACATCTGTGTTATTTATGAGGATCTGACAACATCATTTCTTGGGTTCTGTTCTAACTCTAAAGAGCAGGAAACAATGGCTTGAAGTCCTCATATGGTGAAGTTGAATACTATGGCCAAAACACATGATTTATTTGACTTCTTATTATCAAAGTAAAAATATTATTTTATTCTACATATTAAATATTTACCAAGATAAAAGTATATATTCTTAATCCTTAATTTCCCTTTTATAAGGTTTGAAATTATGAGAAATTTTGTTGTGGTTTTTGTTGTTTTGTTTTAAAATTTATTTTATTATCTACTTTTTCTTTTCTGAAGTAAGGTCTCATTTTAATGCTTAGGCTGGCTTTAAACTCATAGTCTGAATGGTCCTCTGACCGTAACCTTCTTAAACCTCAATTTCCCATCCAAAAGACTATTGTATTGTCATGGATACTTAAAGAAATTGGACTTAATCATGTAAGATTGGTCTGGTATGTAGTAAATGTCAGGGAAGTTTGTGGAAGGCTTTGAAATGATTGAAAGATACTGGGTATCTTTTCAGTAGAGATCTGCGTATTTTCTCCTAGATGTTTTGGAACAAGTGATTCTATCCTGATCTATGTCTTTGACTTGACTATTCTGTAAATCAATGCAAATTACTTCTGTTTAGAGTCAGCTTTATGAATTTTCTTCAATTGAGACAACATTTCACATTATCAAGAGCCCTGTAAGCTGAGTTCTTCCTGTGCATGTTATAGAACAGTAAAGTGAGATAAAGGTGGAAACACACCCATCGGTTTTGGCATTTTTAGTGACAGCAATGAAAGCTGTTTCATTGGTATCGGGGAGGGGAAGTTGGATTGCAGAGGGTTGAAGCTGGAAATAGAGGCAAGGGGGTAGGAGAGGGCGAGTGAAAATAACTTGCTAGAAGCATTTCTCTGAAAGGCAGACAGCATAGAGTCAGAATACTTTAGATTTATTCTTACGATCTGTTCTCCTTTTCCTTCCCTTTCTTCTTCTTCTCTCTTAGAGGAAAGGGCACAGAGTTAAACAAATAATTTTCTTAATGATAATTAGTTTTGAAGATAAGGCTGTTGTTTTTGACTTCTTGATGTTGTTGTTGTTTTAATTTAAAGATACCTACAATAGTTTAACTCTGGGAAGAGAAATGATAAAAGTGTTAGTTTAAATTCTAAACTTGCCACAGTGTAGACTCACCTGGAAACAGAGTCGCAATGAGGGCCTTGACTTCTCCACAGTAATTTACTATAACCTGAAGTTGTGTGCAGTTATTTTTCTATGGATATGACTAGCACTAGGTTTCTGCCTTTACTTCCCCACAGTCATAGACTATAACCTGGAATTGTGAACTAAGATTCTTCTCCCCTGAGTTGTTTTTTTGTCAGAGTATTTTATCAAAACAGCAGAAAGAAGGACAGATAATAATCACCCACAACCAGTACAGTAAGAAAGATAAATTAAAGTTGTTAGACAGAAAGAGACGTTGAAGTCTTCAGCCACGCTAGAAATAAAGACTAGGCAGTGGTGGTCAGTCTGGAGGGCAGGTGTAGGGATTCTGGAACTGGACACTGTTGAAGAGCTCTATGAACTACTGGAGTCCTAGAAGGATCAGAGTTTTCACTGAGAATGTTAGTATTTAAGATCACAAAGATGGGTCATCAGGGCCACTAAAAGTCCTGGAACCACAGTAGTGAGTGTTGGAAATGGAAGGAAAGGGGGACGATGTCTGAATATGAGATAGAGGTGGGAGGAGAGAGGGAGGAGGGAGAGGGAGCGGAGGAAGAAAGAGAGATCTAATTCATGTGCTGAAATCCTCAGCACATGTGAGAGGTATTGACCACCGGACAGGGATGATAGCATCTCTTGAGAAAGCATCCACATTTTTCCTTCAATCATCCATTCTGTAGATGGGAAACAGCTGATTGCTGCACCCTGCGAGGGCCCTTGATTGCCTTGAATGCTGCTAATTTCATCTTCTCTGCTCTTTTGCTTTGAGCAATTCTCATCCCTTTTAATCTAGTCCAAGGTGTTCTTTCTTGGCTTTGGATGTAGTAAGTTTCATAACAACAACAACAACAAAAATCACCATGATTTTGTATTCCAAATCCTTTCCATCTTGTCTTTTTTTATCATTAATGGAGATGGGAAGAAACTAATTACTACATTTATGAGGTCTTTCATTTTCTTGAATGCTATTAAATCACATTCTAATGCTGTTTTGCTTTAATTCTAATTCCCTTTAGTCTAATTCAAGGCTTTCTTTCTTCTTTGATATTTCTCTATTTATTACCAGCTTATGAGTATCTTGTATTTTGAATGAAATAAAACTCAATGAGAGTCGCTGAAATTGTTTTTAATTATTTTTGGTTTCTTATGGTCAATTTCTTTATGTGTGTTCTAAATGGAGTTCATAATTCTAGAAAGAGGCATAAATATTTCACAGTTTTATAGTATGGTATCAGTAGTTTTATGTATATTTGACTTTATGGCCACCTTATTTTACTCTAATTTTTACTTCGAAGTGCTGATTTTCTCTCTCCAAGTTTGTTATCCATAACAATCCATTCTTTGTCATCCTTATGTTTTCATATTGTTAAATCAAACTTTTTAGACAGGGGGCATCTCTGAAATAAAGGGTTTACTAAGCTGTTACATAGTCCATCCTCAAATGAAAAAACCAGTCAGTCCTGTGACAAATTATATGAGCTATCAGGAGCATGGTCTGTAAGTAGCTGGAAAAATGTTCCATGGATCTAGGAAGCCAGAATATCTTATAATGAAATGAAGAGAGATGAAATCATGAACTGTTCACACTGAACCTTAGTAGTGATAGCTAAGAGAGCAAGAAAATGCAACACAGGCAGAGTCTTGAGACAGGAGGGAATGGTGCTGATTCTTGGTTGTTTGATTCTGGAATCAGAATACATTAGCATCTTGGTGGCCAAATTTGAACTGGTAGGCAATACAGCATGACTTTCTCTGCTAATTTTGCTTGTGTTTTTTAAAAATTTTATTATTTAGTTTGTATGTGTATTGAGTGTGTGTGTGTGTGTGTGTGCTTTTGTGAGTATATGTGCTATAGGTGCATCATAAATGTGCAAGTACTCACAAAGATCAGAATAAAGCATTGGATCCTCTGGAAATGGAGCTATGGGCCAGCTTGAAAGCTACCATGTGGGTACTGGCAACTGGACCTAGGTTGTTTGCAGGAGCAATAAGTGCTCCCCAGCCCCTCATTTGAAGTTCTTAGTTAAGAGAACCTCTTATTGTCTTCCCTCCCCATGTCCCTGAGCCTAACTTCAAGCAACTCAAAATTTCTCACCAACACTCTATCCTAAGGTATTCCATATTGAAAACCCAGCTTCTCTTCAGTCTGTTTTGCTGCATTTCTCACCCATTTCCAAGAGAAAATGTGAATTCTTATTCTAAAACTACGTTAAATTTCTTGTTGTTGTTTGGGCTTCTCTTCAAGCATGTTAAATCAATTTGTTTCTTAAATTTACTTGAGAATTTAAGTACATTAGTACACTGTATCTCCACCATTCCCATGCCTGCTTATGCACCTCCATCTCCTGTGTCCTTCTCTTCCCCTCTTAAATTTCATGACCTGCTCTTCTATAATTAATATATTCATTCACTTATTTTAAAAATTTTATTCTTTGAGAATGTCATACATATCACAATAAAATATGTTTGTATCTATCCAACATTTCTCCCACCCAACTCTCCGCAGGTTCCCCCAACACATTTCCCTCCCAACTTCGTGTCCTCTTCTTTTGTTCTAATAACCCATAGATACCATTAGTGATGGCCACATATGCATGAGTATAGGACCATCCAGTAGAGCATGGACTACCAACTAGTGACTACACCCCCCAAAGAAGAATGATTCTCATTCTCTCCATCAGTAGCTATCAAGTGCTAAAGGCCTGGTGAGCTTCCTCTCCTTCTGTACTATGGTTTTGGTTGGCTTCATCTCGTGTAGGTCTTGTAGAGGTAACCACAGTTGCTGTGAGTTCATGAGTGTGATACCTATGTGATATCCTAAAGACAACATTTCATAGCATTCATCCTCATCTCCAGATTGTACATTCTTTCTGCTAACTTTTGGTTCTTTGAGCCTTGATTTATGTGTCGGGGTAGTTAGCAATGTCCCATTTAAGACTGATAACTTACAGTTACTTATTGCTGCAATTTGTCCAGTTACAAGTTTCTGTATTGACTGCTGATTATTGCAAATAAAAAGGAGCTTCTCTGGCCAAGTGTGGGAACATCTCAGATCTATGGGTATAAACATAAATATTTAAAAGGAGATTTGAAGGCATGGTTATTTGGTTAAATAACAATAGTAAGTGTTACTATAGGGCCTATGAACTCCCTATCTAATGGGTTTTGGGCCAGTTATACAGTAGCAAGCATGAACTCCATCCTATGTAGCAGGTTTCAAATCCACTTATAAAACAATGGGTTACCCTACAATAGTCACCCCTACTATTGCAATAGTGGTCATCTCTTCTCTGACTTTAAACCTCCTTCAAAACATATTTAAGTATAGATTTTCAAGTGGGCTTGGTTGTTCATTTTCCCTCCCTATATTCCTTCTTTTACCCTGCCCTCCCATAAAAACCTCTTGGTATAGAAGCTTCCTAAAAATACATAAATATACTAAGGGAATTTAAATGGAGTCATCATGTAATCAGGAAGATAATGATCCAAGTAGATATCCTATGCCACCAAGTAAAATTTACCTCCAGCCAGGAATAGGTTACATCTTCTTGAGTCTACTTGTTGACCAGTAGTGTCCCATAGAAACCCCAAATATCGTAGGCTATTGCCAACACTTTTGATTACCTTCCATAACCTGATGAAGAAATCACACACACACACACACACACACACACACACACACACACACACACACACACACACAATCATAGATAAATAATAAATAGAGCTATTGCCCAACTAGAAGTTTCATGCTTACTGATTATCAATCACGGTATTTAAAGGTACTTTGAACAAAGCCAAAGAAGGAAAAAAGCATCAATAATACCAATCTCCAAACCCTGTAACCTATAAACAAAGACCTGTCTACAAGATCTATCAGTGCAACAGTGGCACAAATGTTATGGGAGTAACCAACCACTTTTTAACCGTTGAATTTAAGTCATACTCTATGAGATGGTACCCATCCCTGACTTAAATAGCCAAGAATCTGAGACTAAATAGGTCAAGGGTCCTAGAAGAAAACCTACTATTATTATTCTGCTAAAAGAACATAGCAATAGAATTACTCCTAATGCCATATTGCCATGACCATAGATCAAGGCATCGCACAACCCTTATAAAATATACTCCTCCTTTCCATAGATGGGAATTAGAAAAGAGACACACAACTGGACAGTGCACAGAGAGTTAGATGCTTTGAATCACTCAGCCCTAAATGGGAGCCTCTATCAATCAGCTCTTCTAAAGGCTCAGGGATCTATGTGGGAAAGGAGGCACAAAGATTTTAAGGACCAGAGGTGGTGGATGACTCCAAAGAAACAACATCATCCAGACACAACAGAATTGAAACGCATATGAAATCATAGAGACTATGATAATGATAGCATGTGGTAACCCTGATGAGTAAACACAAGACACAATTGCAACATAGAGAAGGGGAAGTAAACATAAAATCCCATCCCTAGTTAAGAAGGTATTTGCAATCGATACCTGCTTGGAAAGGAAAAGTAAGTTTTTTTCCAATGGAGTGACAGTAGGTATATATACTACATCAAAGGGCAGGCCTCATACCGAAGAGTAGTTGGTCAACACAAAATGGAGCCAGTATCTTTTGTTGTTGTTATTTCTGTGAGTGTGTGTGTGTGTGTGTGTGTGTGTGTGTGTGTGTGTGTGTGAGAGAGAGAGAGAGAGAGAGAGAGAGAGAGAGAGAGGAGAGAGAGAGTGTTCAAGCACACACACACATTTCGTGCATGTATCTTTTTGTTTTGTTTTGCTTGGTATTTTTTGCCCTACTGCATGTTTGTCTTGATCTTTTTTTTTTTTTTTTTTTTTGAGAAAGAACAAGAAGTTGAGTAGGTAAGGAGGTGGGGGAGAATCTGTAAGGAGGTGGGGAAGGAAAAGAACATGATCAAAATATATTCTATGTAAAAAATTAAATAAAAACACACTAAAGTAACATTAGACCAAAATATGGCCATATCTACCTGGAATCTTGCAAAAATGTTTTTTGGCAGTAAGTAACATTTTGATTGGTTTTGCTGATTATCTAATTAAGTAATTTTTGTACCATAGCCAAGGAAATCTCACATGAAATTTCTCATGAGAACACTGGTCATCGTGGAGCTTCTACAAGCCACGATAAGAGTGCGGACCGGAACTTAAGAGACCAGATACACCATAGGTCAGTTTTAAACTTTGTGCCCTTTCTATTTCTTTCCATTCAAAGAGGCTACAAAAAAAGATATATTCCCTACCATTGAGTCTTTCACAGGTAAAACAAAACAGGTTTTTGCACTGAGTGAAATATTTATATGGAAGCTTTTATATTTGGAGCCACAGTTGTTATAGTCTGGGGAAAGAAGCCAATCAGAAAATACTTACAAGTTAATTACAGGGAATTCAGCAAACACTTAGAAAATACCAATGAAGATTATAGAATTTCAGCGCTGTGAGTCAGACTGGAAAAGTTTGTAGTAGCCCATCTGTTATACTAAAATGAAGTTACGTGGCATTCTTTGAATTGTGTGTAATTTTCCTTTGGAAAAGAAAATGTAGGCAAAATTAGTCAATTTCATGAAAGCCTGAGAGATCTAAAAATAAGAAATGAAACAGGAAGTGTAATTTGAGCTACATGAATCTGTCTATGTCCTAGGAATGAAAAAAAAAAAAAAACCATGATTCAAGAAAGCTTTTTAGTAAAGTAAATTAGTCTGTGCCATCTCTTCCTACAAATACCTTTTCACTTTGTATGTCCAAGAAAAGAAATTATATGGCCTGAGTGTGGGGGCTGTGGTCCTGTTAGAAGAGTCCTCAGACTGACTCTGCCGTTAGTGTACATGATATTGTCTTTGGTTTTTAAACAGAGATCTGAACTTAAGTCAAATGTTTACTGAATGAACGGGTAGCATTTCTAAATCCTTTTCACTCATACTTCTAAAATTATAAAAATTATCCTTTGATGCCATCAGACAAGTTCTTTAAATTTAGTATTTAAATCTATTAAATCCATCACTTATAGATTTCATAAAGTTACTTTTTTGGTTTGAATTCCATTGGCAGGCTACTTCTTCATCATGAATTGTCAAATAAATCATGCTAATTGTCATTTTATGTTTAATATCTCTTTATTCAAACATTGAAATCGGTATCACATATTCATATAATATTCTGATTTTGCAGAATTGTTGGCTTCTCGGACAATTGGTCATTGTTGGAAGAGTGGTTTACAGAGCCACAGAATATTTTGACAAGAGTAAATGCTGAAATAGATGAAGGGGCTTTATGCCAGAAAGTAAAAGAAATTTTTTCTACTGAAATAGTAAATAAAAAGGTCAAAGGTAATTATATGTATAATTGTATGCACACATATTAAGTCATTGAGAATAACACACATTATATCTTGATAATATTCATCTCCTCCCCATCTTCTCACAGATCCACCCCCCCAATTCAGATACCCACCCACATTTTTGTCATCATTATTATTTCCAACTCAATGAATCCAGTTAATGCTGCCTTTATATTCTCAGGTGTGTGATCATTCATTGGAGTAAGTGTATTCGACTTAGCAGGGGCTATCCCATTTACATTCAAACCCCCACATGTTTTATCACATTGCTTTAACCTTTCATTTATTGGTTTGTTTATTTTCATTTATTGAGATCCCAAGATGATGTGGAACTCACTATGTAAGCCCAACTGGCTTCCAGCTCTCTGTGATCCTCCTGCCTGTGAGGCTTTCTGCGATGGCAGACATTCACTGCCTCTCAGGACTGCTCTCTTCTTAGGCACTTCTTGCTTTGCTGGGCTTCTAGATTACTTCAACTAATTCTTTCTCATTCCATTCTTATATTTCACTTGGACAGTTGACACCAGATGCCCAGCATTTTCTTACTTTCTAAACACACACATGCACACAGACACCCAAATACACACACTCCATCATTCCCATACTATGATCATTACCATAACCATAACTATGAGGCAAAAAAAAATAAGGAAGAGCCCAAATTATGAATGAATGTTAGGTACAGTGATATTTGCTGTAATTTTATAGCAAATATAATATGCAGTAGTAATTTTACTAATTATAATTTGATAATAATTTTTATATTTGTTAGTTCAAATTAAATAGTAGGTACCTGGAACTCCTAATGCTGGTTTGCTTTTATCATTCTTCTGAAGTTGAAAAGAAATTAGAAGAAAAAGAAACTGATAAAAAGGCGGCATCTGCTGAGGCTCCTCCTACTACTTCTCCCCTTTCTCCTGAAGCAGAAAAAGACAAGGAGAGTCATCTTCACCGTGAGATGTCGAAAATTTCTCCTGGAAAGGGAAGAACATCATCAGGTGACTGACAACCTGATTTATAACTCTGTTTGTCAGTTTCTTATTTTCACATAGAAAAGAATGAGGAGCTACAGCACCAGGCTACTTCGCTAGATTCAGACATTGGTGACTCCAATCCTGTGAGACAAATATCCTCGTCCAGAAGTAAAATGCTCTTTTTTTTTTTTTTTTAGTGTCTATGGTGGTAGGAATACTGCCAGGTCTCTCACAAGCAGGGTACATGCTCTACCACTGAGCTACATCCTCGTTCAAGGAAAAGCCTTTTGTTTAAAACGCTCAGTGTCTTACCTGTTCCACAGGGCATGTGGAGTCACAGCACTCAAGCTAGCTGCTTCGCACATAAGCTGGGGTAGGAAGAGGAAGTTTGTAGAGTGACAAGAAGTGCTTTAGGGCAGAAGGAGGAAACAGCTCTCTGCTGAGCTACAGAACTGTGTTTTTGTAAAAAGTGAGAACATTTGGATGAATTGAGAATCAGTACAGACAGGATATTCTTATATCCCTACAAACAACATTAATTAGACACTTGAATTTCTGTATAGCTAGAAATATTCAGTAAGGTGATTATAGAAAGGCTACAGATGAGGCCAGCGAGGTAGTTCAATGTGTACAGGCACCCACGTCGCATCCCCAGGATTTGTGCAGTGGAAATAAAGGACCAGGTCTCAAAAGTCATTCTCTAACCTCCACATGCTTACATGGCATGTACACACACACACACACACACACACACACACACACACACACACACACACACCTGACACCTCAGTAAACTTAGAAGTTCATAGAAAAACAGCCTTGTAGAACATACAGTTTAGATGAAATTTGTTCTAGATCCTTAGCCACTGGGACTGTAAATTTAACATTAAATGACAGAAAATGAACATAACAAAATTTACACGTTCAAAATTTTTCCTAGTGATATTTGTATGACACCAATATCAGTTTTGCATGAGACATGGCCTCACAAGTAGTTAACTGTGCAGTTGTCTAGCTCAGTACCTGTTCTTGGGGTGTCATAACTGTCTAACAATGTTTTCACTGCATGGAAATTTGACGTATTTCTGTAGTTCTTTACAAAATTCAATTTAATCATAGTAAGGAAAAATTTTGAGATAAAGTAATGCAAAATAATATGCTCTGTTTCATACAATTGAAGTCATTTCAAGTGGCATAGATAATGATGTATTAAAGACCATTTTGCTTCAACAAATCCGGGCTTACCTAATTGCAAGATATGTAAATATTAAAAATGCTTTTAGCATAAGACAGTGAAATGTAAAGCCTTATATGTGTGTATACATATACATACATACACACACACATATACATATATGTATATATATATATATATGACTCATTAGGAATTAGAAAATATAACTTGAAGATCTATAAGAAAAATTCAAGCCTTTAAAATGTGATTTCGACTCAGAAGGCATTTTTTTTCACACGCTGAAGAATTATCCACCATGATCTTTTGAGCTTTCTTATAATCAGAATATCAGTGTAAAACTATGCCTTCCCTGATACCAATCTCTGGCCTTTCTGATTCTGACACAGTTTAATATTTAAGTTTAATATTAAGTTCCCGGAGGCTTTATTTTCTATTTTAAAGTTGTAACCTTGAATAGTGTACACTGGAGGAATAATAAATCTGTTTTGGCTTCACTGATGATTGTACCTGTCTCTTTTTTTTTTTTTTTCCAGCAAGGGCAGGGCTGGTCCCTGACCTTAAACATCTATACAATGGTTCATTTCCACTTGTCTAATTACATTCAAGCTCAAAGCAATATTGATGGGATGTCTTAGTGCATAGGGCATGAGAATGAAGAGAGCTGCCTAGAAGCTCAGAGAAAAAAAAAGTTTGCCCAAGCAAGTTAGGGATTTTGCTTTCTCTCTCTCTCTCTCTCTCTCTCTCTCTCTCTCTCTCTCTCTCTCTCTCTCTCTCTCTCTCTCTCTCTCTCTGGTTTTTCAAGACAGGATTTCTCTGTGTAGTTTTGGTGCCTATCCTGAATCTTGCTCTGTAGACCAGGCTGGCCTCAAACTCACAGAGATTCACCTGGCTCTGCCTCCCGAGTGCTGGGATTAAGGGCTTATGCCACCACCACCTGGTTTCTTTACTTTTTCAAGGAGAAAGTTAACATGAAAAGAAAATAGTAATTTTTTTAATGACATCCAAAATACTAGCATGAAAATTGGGAGAGGAGGCACAATATACTCAATCCTAGCAGATTTGTTCCAAGTATAATTCTAGAATACAGATATCCATTTTTTATCTGCTACAATTGTCCTTAGGATTCAACCTTCACATTTGCCCTCCATTGAAAGGTCTATGATGAAATCTGTCATCAAATGTTAGTATTTAATTTAGAACTGAAGTTCTCAATATAAAATAATAATATCCATGCTATTATTTAACTTTTTTTTAATTTTTCATTTTTAGGATGAGCCTGGTAATGCAAACTTATAACCCTAGGATTTGCTAGAGATACAAGGAAAATAAGGTGTTTAAGGCTAGCGTTGGCTATATAGTGAGCTTAAGGGCAGCCTGAGTTACATGACACACAAACATACACACACACACACACACACACACACACACACACATATTCATACACAGTGAGATTTCAGAACATATTTGGAACGAACCTTAAAAATGAGAGAGTACATTACTTCCAACAGAAATAATTTTCCCCAAAATTTATAAGGCCAGTGTCTTATTTGTTTCTGTCATCTTGTGCTAATGGACAGAATTAATTATATATTTGGTTACTGAGAATATTTTTATCATAAAATTTTCTAATTATTAAATTTATTTCTTTAAAACAATTAGCTGATCCAAACATGTATATCTCTATGAGATGTGTTGTCAGATATGTGTATGTTTAAAAGTTCTTTCAGGTAAACATATTTCAAGGGTAATCCTGTATGTCATTTACTTGTTTATTTATATGGAATTTTGGCTGTCAGAGAGGATATTCAAATGAAAGTAACATGCATTTACAAAATTTTTAACTATCACTTCTAAACAAGCACAAAATGGATAAGATGAGCTCTCTACATTATAATAATTTAAACTGTCATACTTGCTCATTGAAGAAAGTACATATCCCAAGATCAAGAGAAGGGAATAATTGAGCATTTTGGTAACTAATGCAGCATGTAGTAGTGACATTCTTTTTAAGGACTGAATCCTTATTTACTATTTGGGAGACATAGTATTGACCTCCAGATTGTCCATTTCCCATTTCCCTCTTTCTGCAATATACTTTTAACTAGGTTCTAGGGAATGTAAGATAAATGTGCCCAAATTATACTTTGCATTGTAAATTCGAGTCCGTGAGACTGGAAATACAGAAGTCATTAGGCAATACAGTGCATGGCCAAAAGGAGATTAAAAATATGTCATATCAGAACAATGTTGTTATTGAAATCTTTCTCCAAGTGTTTCATTTTTATTAGGGATCTGGTTTTCATATTTTTAACATTTTATTATTATTATTTATTATCATATTATTATTATTAATGTGTGTATGTTGCATGTGTATGCATGGTATGCAAGGTGTGGAACTTTGAGTCAGTTGTCTCTCCCCACGTTCCTGTGGATTCTCAGTGTTGAACCCACATTATCAAGCTTGCATCATCAGGAGGCAAGCACATTTACTTGCTGAGTCATCTTGCTTTGGGGGAACCTAGTCTTATTGAATAAAGGTCATTTTGTTACAGTAAATTTAAATAAATTGTGTGCTTCAAATGGACTTGCAATTTACCTTAAGAATTCCACACTCCCATTACAGATTATGAACAAACCTATCACTAAATATCAATATTAAAGCTAAGATTAAACTTCATAGCGTGGCAATATAGAATATAATTGTGAACAACATCATTCAATAAGAGTAAATGTAGAATCTATCTTCAGATTGATTTCAACTCATAGGAAAAAAAAAACCAATGCATTTGATGTTGTTCACAAATATCATTGATTGCTTAGAGATTGAACAGCCTGGGCTATTGAAGTAAGTCACCAATGATATTTTTGTGTTGAATTTTGTTTAGAAATCCAGCATGGTAAGCAAGACTCTCAGCATGAAGTGAAAGGAAAGAAAGGTGAGACTGCATTCCAAGGAAAGGTACAACAAATCAAGTTAGCTATTGTTACATGTGCTCCTGCATTTTATAAGTGTCTCAGTGAAAACAGCCACAAGGTACAGCAGCAGTCCATCCAGGGATTGCTTCTTTGGGGTAGTCGTAAATCATTAGCTCATTCCAAAGAAACCAGCCTCAGACTATGTGCAGCCTAGTGCTTACCCAAGGTCATGCTGAGAGAAGTGATAGTTTTAAGAGATAATGAAGTGGTTGCCTAGTAGGCAGAGTAATCATCGTAGGTATTACAGGTGTTATCCAGAAGCTAAGCTTTGCTCCCAGAAAGGCACTGCTGCTCCTTCTTGGGCCTCTAACTGAATTGTATTCACTAACAAGCCCTTTGGCACACAGTCCCCCTCTTTCTTTCTAACACAATAGAATAGAAGTGGAGCTAAATCTTTACATTGTATCAATAATGACCAGCTCTTACTTTTTCTGAATGCAAGGATGTCATTTTTTCACCCAATAGCTCATATATGAGATCCTAAGTGAGAAATTTCATTTGAAATCAAGGAGCATGGAAAGTTGCCTTCTACTGAGTGAGTGGTTGTATAATGAGTGTGGGTTTTGTTTGTTTCCTGTTTTCCTATCCTGGCTGTCTAGAAGTTTAGAGCCACAGTAGCACCTGAGTTTCAGAACATGTGCAAGGGCAGGGACCACAATTGCTGCCTTCATATTCCCCTGGTTTTGATCTTATATTTTAAGTTGCATTATTTTCTGACTCTACTTTCATTTAGACTTATCTGTTTTACCTATTTGAAATAAGATGAGTATTATTTTTGAAGCACAGAATGAATAGTTTGTAGAAAACATCTAGGCTCTAAAAGCATGTTAGTTAGATTTGTGTTGTTGCTACAGCTAAAGACTATTTTAAGATTGAGGTGCAACGAATATGTAAACTTGACTTCTTTCAGGGTACATTCCCAATATTATTGTCTTGGGATGAGTACTTTATTATCCATCATAAACTGCCAATGTATTTTTAGTCTAAAAGTGAGTGATTAATCAAAAAATAGTCTAAATATTATTCTCATCTAAATACATATCTCAGTACTACATATACAGTCTTTAACAGTCATAATTATATATATATGCAGTTCTTAATATTTGAAATTAATACCACTGATAATGTCATGATTATTTATCTCACAGGCCATTGTATCACAATTATATTTAAAATTTAAATCATCTCTTAATTGTTGTGATACACACACACATATATGCACACATTTATATGAGCTGTATATGGATATTTATGCTGAAATGAACATCCCTTTATAACATTACAGTGAAAGACAATCTCATCATGATTATGTCACATTATAGACTTATGTAACTAGAGGTAGTTAGTGAATAAACACTGAGATACATTTTAATTGAAATTCTAACTGCTGTAATTTATATTCAGCTCTTGATTGTTTACCAACAAAGCAATTTCCCATTTTATATTACGTACCTCTTGCTTTTTAATTGTCACCAAACTAAACTCAAAGGATGTATTATTATATGCCCAGGAGAAAGAGATATTAACTACACATAGACATATTTGACACCAAATCATAAATTAGACATAATAGTATGAAAACACTAAGAGCACCTTTAATTGGAAACATACAAACTCTAAACAAGCCATAAGTAACCATACAAACTCAACAGGAAAATATATGCTTTCACTAGCTTAGTTTAATTAAAGAATTTCCAACTTATTTTAGCTTTTAATTTTCTAGTTTATGAGGTTAAATAATACCTTTTTATCAAAATTTTTAAATTTATTTTACATACCAACCACAGTTTCCCTCCCTCCTCTCCTTCCATTTCCCCACACACACACCTCCTTTCTAACCGCACACCCAATCCACTCCTCAGGGTAGGGTAGTGATGGGAGTCAACAAAACATGGCATATCAAGTTGAGACAGTACCAGGCTCCTATTCGCTGCATCAAGGCTGAATGAGGCAGCCCACCACAGGGAATGGGTTCCAAAAAGCCAGCTAATGTGCCAGGAACAGATCCTGGTCCCACAGCTAGGGGCCCCACAAACAGACCAAGCTACACAACTGTCACCCACATGCAGAGGGCCTAGGTCGTTCCCATACAGGTTCCCTAGCTGTGGGTTGAGAGCCCATGAGCTCCCACAAGCTCAGGTAAGCTGTCTCTATGGGTTTCCCCATCATGATCTTGCTTATATAATCCCTCCTCCCTCTCTTCAACTGGACTCACTGAGCTTGGCCCAGTGCTTGGCTGTGGTTCTCTGCATCTGCTTCTATGGATGAAGGTTCTATGATGACAATTAGGGTAGTCACCAATCTGATTACAGGAGAAGGCCAGTTCAGGCACCCTCTCCACTATTGCTAGGAGTCTTAACTGGGGTCATCCTTGTGGATTCTTGGGAGATTCTCTGGCACCAAGTTTCTCCCTGACCCCATTATGGCCCCCTCTCTCAAGATATCTCTTTAGTTGCTTTCCTTTTTTGTCTCTCACCCAACTCCACCATCCAGATCCCTCATGTTCCTAACCCATCCCCTCAACTCTACCCTCCCACACCCCCAGTTTACCCAGGAGATCTCATCTATTTCTCTTCCCAGGGTGATTCATACATTCCTCTTAGGGTCCTCCTTGTTATCTAGTTTTTCTAGGGTTGTGTATTGTAGCCTAGTTATCCTTTGCTTTGCATCTACTATCCACTTATGAGTGAGTACATACCATGTTTCTTTCTGGATCTGGGTTACCTCACTCAGGTTGACTTTTTCTAATTCCATCTATTTGCCTACAAATTCATGATGTCATTGTTTTTTACCACTGAGTAGTACTCCTTTGTGTATATGTACCAGGTGTTCTCTATCCATTCTTTGGTTGAGGGACATCTAGGTTGTTTTCCAGGTTCTGGCTATTACGAATAATGTTGCTATGAACATAGTTGAGCAAGTGTCCTTGTGGTATGACTGGGTATATGCCCAAGAGTAGTATTGCTAGATCTTGAGGTAGTTGATACCCAATTTTCTGAGAAAGCACCATATTGATTTCCAAAGTGGCTGCACAAGTTTGTAGTCCCACCAGCAGTAGAGGAGTGTTCCCCTTACTGGACATCCTCTCCAACTCAAGCTGTCATCGGTGTTTTTGATATCTTAAAAAATGAATTTTAGGGGCTATTGAGAAAGGACCCAGATTTCATTCCCAACATCTACATGGAGGCTCACAATCATCTGTAACACTGGTTTCAGGGACTCTGCAATCCTTTTCTCACCTTCACAGAAATGTAGTACACTTACATACATACAGACAAAATACTCAAACATTAAATACATAAATGGAATATTTTTAGAGGTGAACTTTAAATCAGATTTAGAAGTGCTCTTACTTACAACAGTGTAGAAATTCTATTGTTTTGGTGTTTATAACAATATTTATTTCACAGGACAGCCAGAGCTGTTATACAGAGAAACCCTGTCTGGAAACAAACAAAACAATATTTACTTCAAATAGGAAGTTATACTATTTGACTCTTTAATATTTGAAATTAATATTATTGATACTGGACACAATTTTTTTAATCTCACAGGCCATTGAATCACAGTTATATTTAATGTCTCTCTTACAAGTCATGATACTATTTCTTTTCTTCTTTCTTCAAACTTATTATTTCTTACTGGTAACATCATTGACTCATTCTTATTCTCTGAGTATTGAATCAGTCTTTACCTTTTTTTCTTTTGAAATCTTAATTGTCCAATCTTATGGTGATCTTAAAATAATTATTTTTAAACAATATTTTTATATATTATCTGAAAATTTCACACATGTACATAACATTCTTAATCATAGTCTTTCTATTCCCCTTGCCAGCTCACCCTGCCCCTAACACACCTCTCTCCCAACTTCATGTCCTTTAAAATTTTTTATAAATGTTTTACTAATTCCTTGAGAATTTTAAACAATGTATTTTCCTCATGTTCACATTTAACTCCTCTTATATCCCTACATCTCAATCTCCCAACTACATATCCTCTCTCATTTTCTTTTTAAAACATAAGAATATAAGTGGCATCATACTTTTATTTACCTTTTAATTTAAATTCTTATTTTTTCCAAAATACATGCCTAATTGCTGTATTAGCATCATTCCCACCATACCTTCTGTCTTCACTCAAAGTCTTCCTGTTTACCCTCTACTTCTCAAATTCATTATTTTCTCTTCAAGTATTATTGTTAAATATATATTCTCACCTCTGTAATTTTTTTCTTTTTCTTTAATTATTTTTACATATATACATTCATATAAATATATAAATAAGACCTCTTAAGTCCATTTCTTGTTTCTCTTGTGTGTATGTTTTTAGGATTGACCACCTGGGACTGGATAACCAGTTAGGAGACTCATCCCTTGGGAAGAGTGATTCTCCATCTCTCAACAGTCATTACTTTTCTCCTCATATAGGTTTGGAGTCTTGTGAGCTTTCCCCTTCCACGTTGGCTTGTCACTGTTCAGGTCTAGTTTAGGCTACCATATTACCAAGATTTCATGAGTGTAATTTCCCAGTCCTATATATAAGACACAGTCTCACAGCAGATGCCCTGGTCTTCCAGGTCTTGTCTTAAAATCTTCCTGCCCCCTCTTGTGTGGTACGTCCTGAGCCTTGAGTGTTGCAATTTTGCTGTAGCTGTACAGGTGTTTGATCACTTATGAGATTCTAAGCACTATTATACTAGATGTGGATTTCATAAATGATCTCAGATATTCAATCTTATTACTTTATAGTTACTTATATCTGACTCCATGATGAGGAACAATACAAATCCTAGGACTCCGAGCAGAGAACACATTCCTCCATGAGCTTTGCCAATGTTCCTTCTCAGCACAGTGCTGGTGTGTGCTCAATCTCTGACTCTTCACCTAACACTGGGACCTTCTCTCCCTGGTTGTGTTCCTTCAATCTGTTCCACCTCTGTGCTAAAATGTTCGTCGGAGCTGACCTGCATCTTAACTTTGGTAGCTGTTCTTGGCAGCCTAGTAAGCCATAAATATTATGTATGGTTTAGCAAAAGGTTGCGTTTGCTAAACATGACCAAACTTAAGAAATATGAAAGTAATCACTGTTATCCAATGTTTTCACTTCAACTTGAAAAATACTAATTAAATCAGGTCCCCACAGGAAATATTTTAGGATTGAAAAGCAACAAATGATGATGATGACAATAATAATAACATCTTGATTCAAAATATATAAATCAGACTTTCTATGTCTACCTCCTCCCAACAAAAGTCACCTCCCAACTCTCTCCCCTCCCTGAGAAACACTTAAGTTAACTAGAAAATGTCCAGATCTTTGTAATGTCCTCTTCTCATCCATCAATGCAGTTTACTTATATCCTACAATTACTTATTTGCATCTTGGTTTTAAATTTTGCTTTAAACTTCTGACTTTTAATTGCTCAGCTCTTTACTAAATCACCACTACTTGTATTTTTGTTATTTACATTCATCTCTATCTAAACAGGTCTTTACTTTTAACATTGATCTACTACTTTGTCTTAAAATTGAAATTTTCTCTGTGACTTATTTTTAATTTATAAATCATCTTGGCTTAGAGGATATCTGCCTGATTCTATCAAGTTATCATTATTAAACAAAATTTTCCTAAAATTGATGTGTATGATGTCCTAAACAGGAGTTTTCCTCCAAAGTCTTTACCCATTAGGAATGGCTATAGCAAGAACTCGATGATCTCACTATAGAACTTGAATACATCAAATGGTGTTCCTCATAGCTAATAAAGATTTTATTTCAAAGTAACTTCTTTTACTCCTTGAGGTATAGACACATTTATTTCCAATGAAAATCCTCCTTCTCTCAGCATTTTTATTGCTAAATATTAGATACATTTAATATGGTCTCAAAGCACAGTTATCCAAAAAATGCTCCATCTCTCCTAATTTTCACTAAAGGATCAAGATATTTTTAAAATAAGGGGGGGAAGCTTATTCTAGTCCTCAATTTATAATTACACAGTTTTTCCTCTGGAGATGCTGCTTAGAGGACTCTATCTTAAAATGGTCACAGTTCAAGCCAGGCAGTGATGGCACACACCTTTAATCCCAGCACTCGGGAGGCAGAGGCAAGCAGATCTCTGTGAATTCGAGGCCAGTCTGATATACAGAGCAAGGTCCAGGATAGGCTCCAAAGCTACACAAAAAACCCTGTCTCGAAAAAAAAAAAGTCACAGTTCAGAATGAATGGTGAAGAGTCATGCAGAAAATATATCAAATTACGAACATTTTTAGCTTGTCTGCAGGTGTATGAATGATTAACGGATATTGGTTTAATTATATATGAAGAAATCACCTGAACTACCCAAAGTCATAAATGGTAATACTTTCTCTACTTATAAACTATGCCTTTTAATTAGCATAAAGACAAAAATAAGCTAAGGAGCATCACTAAATTATACTCATTAGAATATGTATTTAGGAGAACGAAAGTGCTCCCCATGCTATAGTTATCTTTCAACAGCATGTACAGTTTTCAGCAGTTAATCTGAAGGCAGGTAGAATTTAGCCTGAGTGACTTTCAAAAAAAAAAAATCGATCCTTTCACAGTGTGTCTGTGCTCACAATATAAGACAACTGTGTAACTGCTCTCTTCGTTAGAGAAAGAGAAGTATATTTCTGTTCAGATTCTAAATTAGAACACGGACTGCTTACTGCTTCTCCCCCTCTTCCCCCTGCTCCTCCTCCTCTTCCCCCCTCCTCCTCCTCTCCTCCTCCTCCTCCTCTTACTTACTTACCTCCTCCTCTATTCCCTTACTCTCACATTTTTCCTCCCCTCCTACCTCCCTCGGTGCCTCCTTTCCTCTCTTCTTTATTTTCTAGGCTGAAAGTTAAAGCCTGACCATAGCAAGAAATACATTTTTTCTTTCAGAAATCCTTTCAACCTATAGAGAAAATGAGAAGCTTCGGTGTCTTCAGTGGCCTCTTCTCTCGTCTGTCTCATCTGTAGCCTTACCTTCTCTGGATAAAACTTACATATGATCTTTCTCTAACCTCTACTCTGCGTCTCAAGGGACACAAACAAGCCCCACTTATGTTCTAGACATCCTTTTTCTCATTTGGCATGAAGAATTTAATTATCAGTTTTTACAATAGGAAATTAAACACACTTTGTGGTCAAGCCTAAATTTTATAAGAGCCACACATGAATTAGAGAAGTAAGACATGAGTGAACGTAAAATGCCAGAAGTTACAATAGCCAGGCAGATTCCAGTTGCTGGATTCCTTTAAACAAGAAAACAACTCCTTAGGAGTAGTATATCCGTTAATGCAGATGTGGGACCATGGCAAATGTGGCATTTCTTCTATTATATCTTCCAGTTGGTAAAACTGCCTGAAGAAGGCAAGAGTAATCAATGGGTGGCCCAAATCCCATAACAATCATAGACTTTGTCATATTCAGAAACCTATCCGGTTCACCTACTTGTACTGGAATGATTTCATATGCATGTTTAAGTTTCTCCTAAAGGAAAACCACAAGGAGGAAAAGCACCAGCAAAGAAATCACCTGGTGGCTCTGCAGACACATCACCCACACCAACAGCACCAGGACCACCTAAGCCAGGATCAGAAGAGTGGATCTACGTGAATGAGCCTATACCCGAGGTATGGCAACCTTATCATGAAAAGAATAGAATAATTTATCCTTTTAACATCAAGTTTTGCCACATTTGTAACATCTAACAATCCTTCTGAAGTCAGGACTGTGTATCTATTTATCAAAAACTGAGATAAGCCAGGAGTTGCAGCTCATTGGTAGAGTGCAGAAGATCCTGGATTCCATCCACAGTATTGAAGTGGGGAAACAGTGAGAAATTTGCTAGAGGCTTGTCAGTGAACTACATTTCAATTTCTCCTGTGGATTTGAGTTTCTGGGTCATACTTTGAAACTGCTCTTGAGTATTGAGCTCAGGAGAACAAATAGCTTCTTTAAGTACCAATTTTCTCCCCGAGGACAAGCAGAGATGCAGTTTCCTAGAAGAATGACTTCTGCTGCATACATACCCAGCAAATTTACAGTCCCCCATCCATGTATGAGTGCTTCAAGATGAAGCATAATACTTCCAGATGAAATTTAATCTCTGGCATTTTAGAAAAGGAAAGCAACATATGAATCTAACTAAACCTTAAGACAGCTACCTGACCAGAGAGCTCATAATAAGTATGCTACATGGAGGTACGCAAAGGGCCATTTTCCTATGACAGAGGTAAAGCAGTTGTTACCTGGACCTGGGGCTTCAAAAGATAAATCAAAGAACTTGGGGAAATCACACACTTTTTTCTAATACAAGACAAGGAGATGTTTACAAGAGTCAGTTCCATCTTCTTATTTTTATTCCAGTCCACACTGGTCTCTTGCACTGATAAACTCATCACGGTCCATCTGTACCAGGCATCTGAGAGCCACACATTGACTGCAGGAGTTGTGTTGCAGTTGTTATTAATCCCCTCTGGGGATGTTTAATCCCACATGTTAGGCTGTAAATTCTTTGGGGAGAAAATATGCAGCATATGGGAAAACCAGACATAGTCAACAGTATGTGACATATTCTTGATAGATTTCTGATGAATTAATTAACTAGTCTCATGGGTAAAATTGGAAAATATTTAAATATGAAACATTTAAATGGTACAATAGTATATGCATGTATGGATGTATGTTCGTATATAATGGGTGTCACTCAGCCAAGAAGAAGCTACTTCAAATGTATACAGACAGAGAGAGACACATTCCACACCCATTTTCAAAATGTTCTGAGTTTGTGACAGAAACAGAAGAGAAGGAGTCTGACGGAACAAAATATAATCATTATTGGGTGTTGGGTGGGGAGTAAAGAACAAAAATACTCAAATCTTATCCCTTGGGATCGCTCAAAGGAAATAACACTATAGAGGACAAAAATTAAAATAAAAAATCATTAATACTGAGACAGGATATAAGCCCACATGCATAAATCTTGGGATGGACTCTTGTAAGAAGCAGATGAATGTCAAGGAAAGAAAATGGAACAGTGTTTACAAGTATGTCATCCATACATCGGGAAATATAAAAAGATGAGGCTTGTACATTCACAGCAAGGGACAGTTGAGAGTCACTGTGAACTAAATGCTTAAGAGTGGGGAAAAAAGCACGCACAAGACCTCCTTGATCTCAAGGGGATGTCTACACAGAGAGAGTCATGTGACTCAAGATACAGCCCTCGCATGGGGGTCCTACAGGGGCCACCAGAGAAGAATAGAATATTTTTGTCAAGAAATAAAGAAAGGGAACTTTGCTGAAGCTGTTTAGATCACCGAACAGGTGGAGAGAAGCAGAAGGGCCAGAGAAGAGGGCTATGATGAAGACACATGAGCTTATGTTGCTTATTTTGATTTTTTTTTTTTGAGACAGGGTTTCTCCATGTTGTTTTGGTGCCTGTCCTGGATCTCACTGGGTAGACCAGGCTGGCCTCAAACTCATAGAGATCCGCCTGCCTGCCTCTGCTTCCCTAGTGCTGGGATTAAAAGTGTGCACCACCGACTCCCGGCTTTACTTAATCATTTGTAACCGAGTAACCTTTTCTCCTCTCCCACCAGAATATAAGCTCCAAGGCTAGGGGAATCTGATTTATTTGATGGAAAATGCCTTTTTTCTAAAGCAATGATATGTAGGGTGACTAAACCCTCAATGATTCCCTTGTGATTAGCTTAGGAATACATGGTAAGGCACTTAAGTAATGATAGAACAGGTTGGATCTGTTCTTGGTCCAGCGTGGCTCTGTCTTCACCATTAGGACTCAGTCTGGTGATGTTTATCAAGTGGTCATAGCAAAGGCAATAGGAGCATGGGCTTTTCTTCTCCAAATGCTACAGTGAAGGCTGAGATGCAGAAAATACAGGAAAGCAATTTTCTGCTCAACAAAGAAAAGAACTTATTCAATGACATGCTTTGTGTGACAGCAGAGGATTCTGTCTGGAAATGTCATCTTTAATGTATCCATGAGATTCATGGAGCTATTAAAAAAGTTTCTAGTATTTAGAATTTTGTAATTGAAGAAAAAATTAACCCAGATAATTTGTAAGTACCTCATGGACGATGTTTGGGTAAATAAATGTATAGTCATAAAAAAAGGATAATTATATATCAAGTTTATATTCAATATAATGTATACTTTTAATTTTATTTCATTTGCATTGGTTTTATATTTGGTTGCTTGTTTGCATGATTGGAGATAACATAAGAAAATCTTTCTGAGTCCCACATAATACACAGCAAGTAAAGATTGTCCTGGTAGAAGGCAGCAGAAACAACTTGTTCCCACCCTGACAGGAACACAAAGTGTTCTTCAAACAAGACAGTTTTCCAGCGGAGGCAAATGTAAGAAATCAATTCATTCATTCAAGTCTTTGAGGACTTGGCAGGTCCCACATACCATGTGATTATATGGAAAAACTTAGAGTGCTGATCAAGACCACGGCAGCCCCTGGCTGAACAGTGCTGGTATTCTAGAACAAAGCACAAACAGAATTAATGTTGCCAGTATTATAATAACTGGAGTGCAGGATACTAAGACAGAGAGTCTCAGAGGATCTGAGGATAACCTTGTAAACTGATTGGGCCAGGGAAGGATTTCCACAAGAAATAATATCTGTGCTAAGACATGCACATTATCTGGAAGAGGAATTATCTTCTTCTGGAGACAGATAAAGATTAAAACATTCCAGAAGGTGTGCTCCAGACAGTTGCAGTTGGGACTTGATCTTGTTTACTAGTGTTCTTTTGACCCAGCTAGTCTGAGAATTTTCATTTTCAGAAACACTGACTTCTATGCTTTACTGTTTAACAGGAACTGCCTTCCTTTTTAGTACCTTACTGGGAACTGATAGAGAAATCCTACATAAACCACATCAAAACCGTACTTCGGTATCTTAGAGAAAGCCAACACACTATGCTTTCTTATTTATATGAAACTAGGTAAGTAAAGTCCCCAAAGTCAGAATTTTGTCATGATTAGGTAGGACAAGGAACCATCTCATTCCCTTCCTTACTTACAGAACAAGTTTCAAGGAGTTTCTAAGGCGTCCAGATCACAAGCAAGATTTTGTATCTCAGTGGCAGACTGATTTCAACTCTGTTCCTGAAGACCTGTGGGAAGATGAGGAGACCAAGGCTGAACTACACCAAAGAGTGAATGTAAGGACTGCTATGACCTGCTGGGCCAGGGTCGCCTCGTTTTCATCTCCTCACCTGTACACCCCCACTCCATTCCCCTTTCTGTCTTTGGGGATGAAAGCATTAGAAATTAGATTTGAACTTTGACCCAGTCATTAGTAACTCCACAAAGGACTGGATGCTCTGCATTTTGGGTTCAGAATTCATATATGGCCCAGTTCTGAGAAGAGGAGCTGACATCAACATTGCAGGAGCAATCTTGGTACCTGCTTTGCAGACTGTCTTCATTTCTGTTGGTCCACCTGCTTGTGGCTGCACCTCATGTTATTATATGCCCATCCTGAATCTAGTTGCATAGCCTAATAGCAGCCAGAAAGAAAATGGGGACAGCCCATACTTGCCTCTATTGCCTAGATCTTTTGAAGTCTGTTGGCTTATTATACATATGTTTATATCTCCATCAAGTACAGTAATTAGAAGTTGGAAGGCAGGTGGATGTGTTTTTTTCTTTTTGTAAGTTCACAAGTCAAGTGTATTGCCTTGATGTTTTAGGGAAGGGCTTCTAGTGCACAAGAACCCCCATTCAGTTTTGTAGCCTTCATGGCCCATGTGTAAATTGACACCCTCCCGTATCCCATCAGAAGGATGCCTTGAGCCTATCTTATGTATTGGTTACAAAGAGTCAAATATTATTGTGATCTTGTGGGACACTATTCCTCAGGAAATGTGTCTAGATAGGGAATCCAGAACAAAAATAAGGATGCTACCACAGTCCAGCTTGGTAAGCTATTGTGGTTCCTTACAGGAGTATTGGTGAGGGGTTACTTACAGGAGTATAAGTGGCACAAAGGTCATTTGGATTGAACGCTTACCCAGCATGAGTGATGGCTCACAAAACCTGGAAACCTGGAGCTCACTGAATAACTTGCCAGCAGCTTCACAGGTTGGAGAGTGTCCCTTCCAGGTGACTCAATCACTCTCTGCCTCTTTTAGGCAGTTTGATTTGTCGGAGCCTCTTCTAGGCAGCATGACTGACTTGTCTGTTCCAGTTTGGGAGTGCCTTTCAATAGTCCCTTGTGCTTTTATAAGCTTGAGGATAGAGTAGTTCCATGTATTTGGACAGTTTCGGGGACTTCTTTTAAAAATATTATTCCTTGAGGATTTCATACAACATATTTTGATCATATTCACCTCAACTCTCCTTAACTTCGTCAAGATCCCTACCACCCTAACTCCCACAAATTATCTTCTTTTATTAAATTCAGTTTGCACTGTCTCCTATGCTTCTGAGTATGGACCATAACCAGAGCATGCTCAAACTATCAGGAGACACACCCCTAGAGAAAAGACTCTCCTTCCTCCAGAAGCCACCAATTGCCCATAGAAATTCAGTCTGGGGTGGGAGCTCATGAACCCCAACTCCATTCTAGAATTTTAATTGGCTTGATCTTGTGCAGGTCTTATGCAGTCAACCACAACTGCTGTGAGCTTTTTGAGTACAAAAGTTCTGTCGTGTCCAGAAAACACTAATTTGTTCCAGCCCTCCCCAACCTCTGGCTCTTAACAGTCTTTCTACAGTCTCTCCTGCAATACTCCCCAAGCTATTGGATGGAGCTGTGATGTTAATGTAGCTCATGGTGCTCACAGCTGGATAAAGTTATTGATGGCATTTTTTCCTCCAGCAGTCTACACAGCATCTTTTAGTACTATGAGAGCTAGCTTGAAGGGAAGACGCTTCCTGGTCAATACTGACTTGATTTCTCTAGGTCCTATGACTAATAAAGGTGGTGTCTTCAGCAGTGGGGTCTTACTATCAAGTTCTGGTCAGCATCTAAGAGCAATGACAATAACCTATATTGTTTGGGGGAGGGGAGCTCTCGGACACCTTAGTTTGAGGGACTTCTCCAAGCTTCTGGGTTGTTTACTTCCTGAATTTTAATGAGCCTTTGTTTAGAATTTCCTGACTCTAAGGAGCTGAGTTTCTCTACAAGATGGAATATTTCACCTCCCTTTAGTACCTCTTGAGTGAGTTAGTTTGTTTGAGGCAAGATCTCACTATATAGCCTTAGAAGGTCTAAAGCTCACTGTGTTGACCAGGCTGACTTCAAACTCACATAGATCCACCTGCCTCTACCTCCCAAGTGCTTGGATTAATGGTCTGTGCACCACACCTGACCTAGAATATCCTGAGTCTTAACCAGCATCCAAGATCAAATGTATCAACTGGGAGGAGATTTCTATACAGGATATCTCTATATTCATTTGTGTAACAAACATATTGACAAACTCTACCCCAGTGTTCATCATTTGTTCAGGAAATATTAAAGCATTTATTATGTCCACAGTGCTAGGGTTTAACAGGTAAAAACAAAGTCTGCAACTCCAAAATATTTTCATGCTGGTAGCCTGGAGACAGAATAATAAAAAAAATAACCATAAGGTGAGTGTATTGTTATGTTTGTTTTTTAAATCTATGATGGCATCAAGGAAACAGGTAAGAAGCTGAAGCATTTCTGTAACTATTTTGCTTGTTGTGGATGTGGAAATCCTGCTTAGAGACTTTGAATGGACTGAGGGCAGGAATACTGTAGTGAACCACATGCTTATGCGGAGGAAGGTTTATCAGGCAGAGTGGGGAACAAAGGCAGAGAGATCAGGAGGAGTCTTGATGTGTGTGGAGGCTACCAAGAAGCAGAGAGCAAAGTGAGCATAGACAAGAGGGCTACTGATGAGGTCAGAGAGATTGTGTGGGACCGTATTACCTAAGGCCTGGGGTCATTTTATAGTATAGACAGGAAGCCTTGATTTATGGGTTTAAAAGCTCCTGTAGGGAAGACCATTTGGGAAACCTATTTGTGATCTCTCACAAAAATGGCAAGGCAGCATGATGGCTTCGAAGACGGGGAGGTGCCAAAGGCTTTAACCTAAGAGGTGTTCATCTGTTACCTATTCTTAAACATTCCCCAAAATCAGGCATCTAAGCCGGGAAGTGGTGGCACACGCCTTTAATCCCAGCACTTGGAAGACAAAGGCAGGCAGAAGTCTGTGAGTTTGAGGCTAGCCTGGTGTACAAAGCAAGTTCCAGGAGAGCCAGAGCTACACAGAGAAAACCTGTCTCAAGGGAAAAAAAAATCATGCATCTAAGAAAATCCTACAACTGCTTTTTGTTTCTATCTTTTGTCCACCCATTCATAAATTCAGCCTTAAAGTGGCTCTCCTGTATTTCTCTTTCTCAAAGTAGATGATTGCTGGCAGAGAATGGGGAAATTTAATAGTCCAATTACGTCATTTGTTTCTTTTATTCCTTTTCTAAATCCAAATACACCATATTTTTCTTATAGATTAATTAGATAATGAGTAGAAATTATAAAAATAAATAATCTCTGCCAATAAGAGCCACTATTATTACCTAGGTATATTCAATATATTTACCACTCCTAATTATTTTCAAAAAATGGTAGCATATTATACATATTGCTCTTCTCTATTTTTCATTCATCAATACATTGAAGTTTTATTAATGAATAAAATTTCATCTACAACAGTTTTATGACTAAAGTGCATGAGTAACGAACACTATAATTTGTTGAAGATGTCTCCATCATTAATCATATTTCACTGAAAATGTTGTGTGCCAATTTTTAATATAAAATTATACCATAAAATTTCAACCAACTACATACCTCTGACACAATTAATAATAAACAATTTTCTTGGGCTAATTTTTAAGAACATAAATAAAAAGTAAAATTATTGAATGAAAGATTATGCTTATGTTTAATATGTTTGAGACATATTGAGAACATACAAATTCCTATTTTAATTTAATAAAAAGTTAAAATTTTTAGTTTAAAAATTAACAATAGACAGTTCAATTTTACTTTAAGCAACAGGTAATGTGAATGCATTCAATGTTAATTCTGTCATATTTAATGTTTGCCAACTTAGCAGGTAAAATATTAATTTTCTTAAAATTTGTATTTTTCCTTTTGGATTTGAAGTTAGCCTTTCTTTCTTGTTTAATGGCCATTTATTTTCTTTCTTCCGGATCTTGATTGTGATTCCTACTAACTTTTCTGCTGAAATCGGCTCTTTCTTGATTAGTATGTCTTCTTTATATATTATGGATAAATACCATTCATTGATGGTATATTATAAATATATTCCCAGTTTGATTTTGATTATTTGAGGTGAATTTTTATGCAGTAAGTTTTTAGTGTTTATGTAAATAAAAATATAAATTTTCATTATAGTATCTTTACTGGCCAATTTAAAAATATTCCAACCTAAGGTTAAATATAACTTAACCTTTATTTTTACTATTTTATAGCTTCACATTTTATTTTTAAATATTTAAAATAAATAACTATAATAAGGATCTCATTTAATTGTCCACAAAAAGCTAGGCAAATATTTTAAGATGACCCTCAAAGATGTCAGCATTGGATAACATATACATGTGTGTACGTATGATATATCTATACAAAAATATATATAGTGTATGTGTGTGAGAGAGAGCGTTTATTTACTTGGAATAATTTTGTCTGAATATGTGAAAGAATATATATAAAATATAGTTTCAAGAAGAATACAGAAATTAAACTTGAGAAATGAATTAATGAGAATAGAAAACATAACTTGACTACTTGGCAAATAAGGAAAATAAACATTAAAATTAAAATATCAACCCAGATCCCAGGCCAAAACATTACTGGCAAGCATGGCCAGGCCGGAACAAGACAACGCATACTCTTTTGACAAAACTTTTATAATTAGGATATATTCATGGATTCTAGGAACCAAGTATGATTTCTACTTGAAAGGTTCGATATGTTTGAACTTAAGAAACCTCGTTCAAAACACTAAGACTTTGAAACAGGAGATCCTCAGCAGGAGTACACAGTAGAGAAAATGGTAAAGCCTAACAAAACTTCCTTCCCTTGACGGCACGAAGAGTTAAAGTTAGGTTGGAGATGAAGCTATTGTACATCCATTTTTTTTTTCTTTTGGTTTTTTAAGACAGGGTTTCCCTGTGTAGCCTTGGAACTATATAAATCAGGCTAACCCAAATCCAAATCTGCCTTCCTGTGCCTCCCAAGTGCTGGGATTCAAGGCTTACACCACCACACCAGACTTCAGGTCCATTTTGTAAACGTAGTATAGGTAATGGTGGTTGAAAAACCAGCTCTATCCTTTCACATTTTTGTAGTTTATATGTAGATGATCTTGAAGAAAAGAAACACTGAAACTGCTGTCACTAAGACATTTGCATCCCTTTCTCTGCTACAGCCTTGACACAGTGATTGTTTAATGCAGCAACAGTTATTTCTAAATACTGAGCATGCACTAGTTGCGGCCACTGTCTAATTTTATCTGCACATCAACGATCCTAGGTACTCACCAGTAACTATCCCATTCCATGGGTGAAAAGATATGGCAATGAGATTAGCATGATACTTGGCAGCAGCAATGTCATCTATGTCCAAGGATCTATCCTCCCCCATTAAACTGTTTCTCTGGGGAAGGATTATTGGACACATGAAGACAGAATGATAAGGTGTATCTGCCTGGAAACAATTTAACAACCACAACAGCCTCTTAAGCACTTTCCATCTCCAATTCTTCTTTTATCTACTATCAATTCTGATGCATAACACAGTGCTACACATTACTGGCCCAAAGATTCACACCCTAGCTTCACCATTTACTTACCCAAGAAAGCCTTCTCTATTCCCAGTGTCCTCTTACAAAAATAAAGATTATGAGCCACCTCATGTTGCTTTCAGGCATTTAATAGGTGATGCAAATATGTCAACAACACATTTAAGAAGAATCCAATACACAGAACCACTATAATTTTGACATTATAATTTTTGCATACTTATATATAAATTGTAAAATAAATGAAATATCTCTGAATGCTCATATTATAGGTCAATTACAATGTATAAATATTATGCTATACATTGTCCTATTCATATTCTTTCTTACTATTCTTAATCTGATATGCTGCTGAGCTGTTGCTGAGCATCCCATTAATCTCAAACATTTTTCTGGTAAATGATGCCCTATCTCTGATAGTGAACAACCTAAAGTCCTTGGTTCAAATGCAATGTTGTATTTTTTTTTCCACCGGCAATACACAGGGGTTTTTTTATTTAAATTAAGTGATTTTCAACCAAACAAGTTTATTAACAAAAAGCTAACACACAAATAGAGCCACCCATGGATAATGTGATGGGAATGGATTTGTGAGAACTATGGGCATATGATCTGAGAGAGCAAGAGATGTGATTGCTGTCTGAATAAATGAATCTAACACATGAACTTGTCAGGCATGGTTCCTTTAGGGACATCTCCAGAGGCAAAGGATCTCAGGTGCATGGTACCGAAGCTGCACAAGGCATGACTCCCACACACAGCCACGCTGTTTCTCTTTCCACTCAGGATCTACGAGACCGCCTGTGGGACATCTGTGATGCCAGGAAGGAAGAGGCAGAGCAAGAGAGGCTTGATATCATTAATGAGAGCTGGCTGCAGGACTCTGTCGGAATAACAATGAATCACTTCTTTTCCCTGATGCAGGTAGGAGCAGCCAGACACAGTGACACAGACTCCCTTTGCAGCCTTATTCCTCATGGAACAACTCCTTCAGGAATGTTAGGGGTCTGCTCAGGCATCACTTTGCTCATAACACCCTGAGTGGTATGTATTCTCTACCTGGTATGCATTCTGGCTTGCCAAGAAAATTAGCTAAGAAAAAGTGTGTTTTTATCCCAGCCAAGCAACCACACAGACAGTGTATCTCAAGCAGATACTTGCCATTTCTGCTTCCCTGTGTTTGTTCTGCGAGACTGCAGGGATGCTGTCTGCAACTGCGATGTTTACTTGATCAGACCCACAAATACTTAAAGGTGGCCAGCCACCTTAGTCCAAGAGAGCTGCCCTGCCATAATTTCTAGGATACAATACAACCATGGGTACAATTGCTGTGACAAGGAAAGAAAGTGCTGACTAGCCTTTAGCTGACAGATCTCTCAAAACAGTGCCTATAGATAGGTTTTGAGAGATCAAGGGTTGAGGCAGGATGAGGGGTGAGATCAGTTGTCTTTGTAATGTTTAAGCTTTTAATTATATGCATCAGAGTGTAGCTTTGGGCACCTGCTCAGTGCCTGTGTAGACAAGAAGAAAACTTTGGATCCCTCTGAGAGTTGGGGTTTTTGGTAGCTGTAAGCCACCTAATGTAGATGCTGGGAACTATAGTCCTCTGAATGAGTGGTACACTCTCTTAATCCTGAGACACCTCTCCAGCCCCAGTTGTGTTTATTAATTGAAATTCCTCCTATCTTCATTGTAGGAGATAGGTTTACAACTGAAGACATCCACAGAAGTTACTTTCCTTCCCTCATATGGGAGCCTTGAAATGCAATCTGCCTTGAGAAATAACTGTACTTCAAAGACAGTTTTCAGAGCTAGAGGAAGGCACTCCTTAGTTACAAAACTGATAAAAGGCCTGTCTTAAAATATATTTCAAAAGCACAGACAAAAAGCTTTACAATGGACTAGTTTCCCAAAGTACTGATGGAGGCCAGGGGCTGAGTTTGGGAAAAGCCTGTCTAAAATTATTCATGTCTAGGGGACTGTCAAGGCTATCTTGGTCAAACCATGCTTAATTTTTGTTGACAGGAGAATAGTTAAGAGGGAGAATGAATGAATGAATGAATCATCTATAATTAATTAACTTAGAAGATACTTTAGGAGATGTTAAAGTATCTCTGCTTTTATCTTTGACTTAGACATAGTAGGTGTTCAGAAAATCTCTTTTAAACAGATAACCCATCCATTCTAGTAATCCTAGCCTTCAAAGGGACAATCCCTGCTCTATGGGCAGGTCTGAAAAGTCAACAGAAACCTAAAGAACACAAAAGCCTCAGGAATTATAGCAGCCCCCACCTTACTATTTCCCTTTCCATGGTTTCATTTGCCTTTATTTGACAACAGGTATGTGTGTGTGTGGGGGGGGGGGTTGTTTTGCTTTTCTGTTAAAATATAACTAACCTACTGATCTTCTCATCAATTTATTTGATAGATGAATTGATTTTTTATTGTTTTAGAACCTCTGAAACTTCTTCTGCAATGAAACCTAAATGCATGTTCCCTCTCAATCCACTCACATCTGGCTTAAAATAAACTGTCTCCCATATTCTACAGGGCAAAGCTGTGCTTTGTATCAACAGTGACGAAGTAAATCTTTTGGTGTTCCATTTTGCACCATTTTATTCTGCTTTATCCCACTTGGAATGAAAAATTCCCCCCTTTCATTTCATCAACACTGTGTATTCTCTCTTTCCAATTTTCGCTGTCCATTTTACCAGATCATCCACTATGGTTTCAAAATGTTTTTGTTCAAGTAGCCCTTATGCTGGAATCTAATGCTGTCATGATGCCTAAGCAATTCATTTCATGTTGTTTTTATGACATGGTCATTGCAGTCATCTTATATCTATACAAAAAAAAATGAAATATAGCACAACAGATTTTTTAAGAAAATCTATGGTCATATCACTTTCATTACAGTATGCTGTTATCATATTCTGTTATTAATTCTCAATGTGTCTGATTCAGACTTTCTCAAATGGATATGAGTGCATACAAAGGTATTTGTCAAGTGTTAAATAAAGGACTAGGAATGAAGAAGAACTATATTATTTCTAAGTGGGAGGTTTAAAGAAATCAGGATATCAGAACAAGAAAAACTATGAAGGCGTGTTAGAATGCTGGATTATGAAGATAAGATAGATTCAAAAGAGTTTCAACCAAAGGACAACATGGAGATATTGTTAAGCATATTATTAAGTGTTTTAAGGTGTCCACTTAGCACCATAATGCATAGTTTACACAAAGGACTAAGTAAAGTGCCCAACTAGCCTAAACTCATCTGAGAAGAAGCTTGGGACACCAGTTTGAACAAGTAGAGAGAAAACATTATGAACAGGTTTTACCAAATGCTTATGGAAAAAGTAGCTACAATCCAATAATGAAGGTACAGCAGACTTTCATGAGTCACTTTCATGAGTCAGAGCCCTAAATGACTCCTGTGGAATAGGTAAGACTCTAACAGTTCATTAATATGTACATTTGAGGTTCTTATCCTGAGACATTGAACCAATGCCCACATCAGACAAAATAAAATAAGGTAGCATAACAGAGTACATGCTGGGCACTACTCTCAGAAATTTCCAGTAGAACACTGTAAACTGTCACAACAGCACTATGCTGAAGGTTCGAGTGTCATCCTCATTCCATAAATAAGGAAACTGAAGAGAATGGGGTGGAACTATTGGCCCAATCATTGCATCTAGACTGAGCATGACTGCAGACTCAGTATTCCTTCTGGAACACTATTATGTCAACAACATTGTCCAAACTTTTCATCTTCACGAATACAACACAAAGAGCTTTGTTTAGCACTGCTCGATAAACCCTGTAAAAACCAACTGTGGACATGCTCACAAGTAACTGTCATCTCAGCACATGGAGAAAGAACGTGGTGATGGGACAACCCATCAACTACTAGACAGTTGAGGCAGCCTGCATTTTGTCCAAGTCGCTCAAAATCAGAAGCCTTATTAATGTTTGTCAAGGACAAAAGGTAATAAGCCTTGAGCAAAGCTTCAGTTCCATGTGCTAGCTCACAAGCAGCTAGATAATTGCTTCCAAAAGTGGGTTCCCTGGAAACTTGCCTTCCAAGCTGTTCCAGAAAATGTTGCAGTTACGTAAGTGACTTTGGGAAGTGCTGCATGACTCTACCTATCCTCCTCTCTGGGAGATTGATGGGCCTGCTGACATATTTAGAAACTAAGATGCTCCACAAATAAAGAAATCATTTTGGCACATTAATGTTCAGTTTCGAAACTTGCTTGACCTTGGGAAGTTTTTGCTTGTTCATTTCAACAAGATATTTATGCACAGCCTCTGCAACAAGTTCTCCACACAGTAAAGTTCAGAAATGCTTTTCTAAGCTGGCGCTGGTGCAAAAACCTGTAAGTCACACCTACCCAAGAGGCTGAGGGAGGAGGATCACAAGATCAGGGCCTACAGGCAAACAGGCAGTTCATGGTTAGTCTGGGAAACGTAATAAGATCCCATCTCAAAAATAAATAAAAAAGGAAGGCTTGGCATATTGACCAACCATAAAGTAAAAGTACTTGTTTAGAATGCTGGGGGTCCTAGGTTCAATCCAGAATACCACACAAAAAGAAAAGCAAAATCTGAAACTCCAGCAGCAAAGAAGCCACGTAACAGAGGGTTATTTACTTGTTGTAAATATAAGAGGAACCCTGATTAATTTTTCTTAAAGGAGAATTCTGAATATGGTGTGGTATCCTATTCAAATTTGTTTATATTTTGAATCAAGTTGTTCCCCTTAAGATGAGTTAATATTTTATACAAAACAGTTACTGTAAAAAGAAAAGTCTGCCGGGCGATGGTGGCGCACGCCTTTAATCCCAGCACTCGGGAGGCAGAGCCAGGCGGATCTCTGTGAGTTCGAGGCCAGCCTGGGCTACCAAGTGAGTTCCAGGAAAGGCGCAAAGCTACACAGAGAAACCCTGTCTCGAAACACCAAAAAAAAAAAAAAAAAAAAAAAAAGAACTAAGGGTTTATGAATTCCTTCCTGTGTCAAGAAATAATTGACGCAAGGACCATGCTAGAAACAAACACACACCAGAGCCAGAGGGATTTAATTCCATTATAAAATGCATCTTGAGCCGGGCGGTGGTGGCGCACACCTTTAATCCCAGCACTCGGGAGGCAGAGCCAGGCAGATCTCTGTGAGTTGAGGCCAGCCTGGGCTACCAAGTGAGTTCCAGGAAAGGCGCAAAGCTACACAGAGAAACCCTGTCTCAAAAAACCAAAAAAAAAAAAAAAAAAGAAAAGTCTTAGGGACAGATCCCAGGACAGTTTCAAATACTGACTCTATAAACTACAGTCTCCCAAACTTAGTGATTAATGAAGAGTTCAGTGCTCTAAGATACAGAAGAAACACTTTCCAGGTTTATCACTTTATTTGCCCAATAGTATTGATTGAATGACTAATAGCTTTTTGTAAATGCCCCCCACACCCTTATTTTCAATTTTCCAAAATTAATTGTTAATATTCAATATGTACATAATAAGTTTAGATTTGCATCTTGTTCATTGTAAATGTGATATTGTGTGAGTTCCCATGTGTATAATGTAATCAAATAATTTTCCATGCAGTTTTACAAAACTGAAAATTTACACATACAAATAATTTTCATTAAACTGTGGGGTAATTCTGTGTAAGAATATTTTAACTCAGTGATAAAGAAAAATTTATGGGTTTCATGGCCACTTAAAAGTACTGTGCTCATGTGTAAAACATCCTAAAATTTAAAATAATATATAAATGTTAGTCTTATTTTATAATATAGACTCCAAGTAAATGGATGAATTTCCACTTCTTTAAGATATTTAGCTAGAAGAGTTTAATATTGTAAAAAGCAGAAACAATCCATTTATCATTTTCTCTATAAAACAATCTTATTTCACCTGTTTTTTTTTATTGTATACTACTATGCAAAAACAGGCATCCCTTCATTGTCAATAGTCAATATGGTAATGCAAGTCTATTTCTGAATAGTTTAGAAACATGTTTTTCTTTTTCTTTTTTCTTCTCTCATATGATGCATTCCGACCGCAGCCTCCCATTCCCTCTCACTACCTCCCTTTTCCCCCAGATCCACTGGTCCTCCCTTCAGAAAAGAGCAGGCCTCCAAGTGATATGGAATTCCTTTATTAATGCCCTTGGGCTACATTTAGCAAAACTTTAAAAAGTTTTTTTTCCTTAAAAAAGAGCGAGCGAGAGAGAAATCTAGCTCTTCAATGAACTAGTTTTGTGAATTACCTCTGCATAGAAGGCTCAACATTTATGGCTTCACATATCTGCTCTCACAACCCCACCAATCAAGGAAAGTTGGGGATAATAGGTTAGGTACCTCACCAAAAAGAAGGACCTACACACCACATGATGTAATAGAGAGAGAATCAGTTGGAAATCCAGGGTCTACATTTGCATCATTTTAGGGATGTTTAGGGACTCACAGTATACATGCCCAGTGCATGTGTGCCACCAGGGCAAACCTGAACTAACAAGGAGATGGCACACGTGAATAACAGCTGACAGTTTCACAACCAACTCCTCCGAACTCCTTGACTTCCTCCAAGGTCTCTTCTAGCCATGCCAACAGAGGCGTGGAGCAGCGAGGACCAGAGAAGTTACGAGTTATGGCTATCCTGTTCATATTAAGCAAGACAGGAAACTGTAGTGAGAGAATTATTGTTTCACTTTGTGCTCTTGTTTGTCCTGTTTCCACAAATAGTTCGTATTGCACCAGAGGAAACGAACCTAGCTGTTGGTTTCATTTTGTTCTCGTACATACAGCCTCTGTGGTACCCCAAGGCAACTGAACGGTTGCTAGGACAAAGAAGTTACATCAGTGATGGAAGAATCTAGTGCCAGTTATCAAGAGGTGTCAAACCGCCACCTGGTTAAATGGAATCACACTCAGTAAACACATAGAATACAAAGTCATTTGCTCTCTTAAATAGTTATGAAAACTTTAGGGACAGAGAAATAACCAAGTCTCTTTCTTAATTTCTAGAAAATTACTTTCAACCAACATGTTTTAAAATTTCTATTTACAGTATACATAGATGTCACAGAAATACATACAGATTAGTCTGCTCTAAATTGGGTATTGATATCCACTTTCTGTATTAAAGGCGGAAGTGAACCGTTTCCAGGATACCAAAAGACTCCTCCAAGATTATTACAGAGCAATGGAATCCAAAATCCCACTAGAAGACAATAAGAAGTTTACTCGGGTCCCATTGATTCAGCTCGATAGTAAAGACATTTCCGAAAACCAGCTTAGGTAAGGCAGACCATTGTGTTACACTGTGATTTCTTTGAACATAGAGCATTGTGGTTTTTAAATTATAAGTAATGTTCCTCTTCATGGAAACCCCAAAATGTTCTAAAAGGCTGAGCTTTTTTTTTTCTAACTTTGATGTGACACTAGCTTGACATGATATGATTATTTATCTTGTTATTGGTGAATTTGTACTCCTTTGGCTAGAGAGGTATCATCTGTTTCCTATGTCGTTTTCTGCAGGACTGTGCTGTGGATATTAGACAGTATGTCACTTCCGTATTCAGAAATCCATTTAGATCCAAAGACCTCTGGTGAGGGATTAGGAACTTAAATGAAAGAAAGAACTGGACCGTGTGTGTGTGTGTATGTGTAGGTGTGTGTCTGTGTCTATGCATGTGTCTCTGTGTGTGTGTGTATCTGTACATATATGTGTGTCTGTGTGTGTATAAGAGAGAGAAGAGAGAGAGATTATGTGAATTAAAATGGAAGGGATCGCCATTCTTTTACAGGTGAGGAAATTGAGAAATTGTAGAAGTCTAATAGTATGTGATCATGACCTTACCAGACTGAAAGATATTAACAATCTAACATCAGATTGTTGCCAACAGAAACAGGAACTTAGTGGTATGGTGAAGACAAATTACATTTTTTAGCCAAATAAATCATCTGCAACAAAAATATAGTAAATTTTTTATAGATATAATAGATGAGTTCTGGGGAGGAAGGATAATATCTCAGACTCTGAGATGTAAGATATGGAGAAAATGGCATCATGAAAGGGCAGGGCAAGGGGAGTGGTAGTGATCCCCGTGGTGTAGCTTCCAGCCATTAACCACTAAGATCTAATTTTACCGAATTTTATGTGTCTTAAAGCACTTGAAAACAGAATTTGAAATCATTTAGGAGTAAATGTGTTATTTGAAAATAAGTTTAAAATTTAGGAAAACTTAAAATAGTATTTCCTAGTGATCATTAAGCAAAACATGAGAAAATAGAATAATCTTGATATGAAGATGGAAGTGCAAGCAGAAGTTAGATTTAAAAAATGGTATGCAGACACTGGATGCTGTGTTTAAACCTCCAAGCACATGAGTTATGTATTTTATATTTAAAGGAAGCCTCTTTACCTAGATGTTTACTCAGTCAGCATAGGTGTAGGAGTTGTATAAGCAAAGTATAGCATAATGAATATATTTTGAAACTAGATTGGTCTAGTTTAAATCCTGAGTCTGTCACTTACTAACCATATGTAAGTGGGTTAAGATAACTCGCCTGACAAGTCAATACATCTCAATGTAAGCCTCAATTTTCATTCTTGTAAAAGCAAGGTTGTTGTGAAAATTTACAGAAAATAGAATCTGCAAAATATATGGGATCATGTCTGGAAACTGAAACACTTAAAATCTAGTCCTCAAGCAGTTAATAAAGGGTGGCCTCTTTTGTTGTTGGATATAATAGATGATAGTTTGCTCTTGCTTATATGCAATATTTTAATTGTGAGTATTGCATGTACTTACTTTGTTAATCCCTCTCTTGTTCCAAAAATAATTTTAGATGGCATTGCCACATAGGTTATGCAATGATCCAAAGTCCATTTCTTCACTCATATTCTTTCATCTAATGTTATATTTCTGTCAAGCCCATATATATATACAAGAATACACAAAAGGGTGAGCATGCACCCTCTTCCTCTCCCAAATAAAAGAAAAAACATTGAACATGCTGCTAAGAAAACTTTGAAATTAGAACAATAATAAATACCAGAGGCAATAGGAACCATAAGAATCACCAAAAGAGACCAAGTTTCAGTGTCTAGAGTGGCAGTGCATTCTGTTCTTAGCACATAATGGCAAACCAGGCATAATGGAAAAGCTATTAATGTTGGTTAGTACAATAAGCCCACAGAAGAACAGACAGTTCTTATTTTTTGCAGAGCAACTTTGTACCAATCTCAACCTCAAATCACTGCTGTGGCAAAACTGTTGAAACAATCAGTCAATCAATACACCAAGCAGCTCACCAACCAAATAACCACAGGCTGTAACATGTAGAAAGAAAGAAACACAGTGCTAAGCAGTTTTGCATAGTTTTTTTACTTTATTCCTTCCAACAACCCTATAATACTGGTGGCCATATAATATTTTCAAAATAGTAGTTGTGTTAGTTGATAAAGAATTATTCATGAAAACAGCCATAATAATAATGTGCTTATATTATTCCAAGAAGTGAGGCTCAGAAATTCAAGTAGCATACTTAATTTCATATCTCCTGATAGTGACAGAACTACCTATACTTATAGGCATTTTTCTTCCCAATAAATGAATTCTAAAACCATTTTCATCAACAACTACCTATAATTTTAAAATAGAACTATTATATATTCACCTTTGTTCTCATTTCCATATCCCCTTTCTGTTTGCATTGATTAAATTTGTTGGGAGACAATTTCACATGCTTGTAGTTCTGATTAGTATCACTTTCCACCTCTCTTATCTCCCTCACACAAAAGTTATTCTTTTCTCCCCATGAGTACAGAGACTTATGCCTGCTCAAGATGCTTAGAATAAATGAGCACTCAACCTGAAATGTTACATTTGTACCACACCATCTAAGGCTCGGGGAATACTGCAGAAAGACTGAATGGAAAGGATATACAAGGCAGGAGGTAGAGAGAGAGGCTAGAAATACCACCATCAGGATGGATATATATAATCTTGCCAATGCAAACAAAACCCACAGGAGCTGCAGTTGCCGTACTGGGCCTGAATAAGACTGGGCCTGAAAACAGAAAAAGATGGGTAGGATAGGAGTCATAACATCTTATCTTTCTGCTGAACCATTGGCAACTGATGAACTCTCAGTGGGGGATAGTGATTGTCTTTAGCTGTGTGACAAACAGTAAGCCTCTTAAACTCCAGTGGATAATTCCAAACCTGTGGCCACACAAATAGATGATCCTGGTTAAAATTAGTGGGTCATAAACCCAAAGTCTTCTTCTAAATGATATGCCATGACTGCTGTCCTGCAAAGCAAAGTGTTGTGCTGTGTGAAGTGTCTAGAGATGGTCACACACACACACACACACACACACACACACACACACACACTTCAAGTGAACTTATTGGAACTTGAATGGCTTTGATTTAGCATTAATTGGATTTAAGATATAATTCAATGTGTAAGTATATTTTCAATGTCTTGCCTTTATAGTTATGTTAGATCATCAGAATTCCAAGTACTGAGTCATAAATGCTGTTCTTCTGCTGTGAAGATATTCCATGACCAAAGCAACTCTTCTAAAAAGAAAGCATCTAATTAGAAACTTGATTACAGTTTTAGAGGGTTAGTTCATGATCATCCTTGGGGGAAGCAGACAGGCATGGCACTGGAGCAGTAGCTGAGAGATTTACACCCTGATCTGTAGGAAGCCAGGAGAAAGAGTGAAACACTGGGCCTGGCATGGGTTTTTGCAACCTCAAAGCCCACCTCCAGTGACTCGCCTCCTCCAACAAAACCACCTGTACTCCAACAACCAAGGCCACACCTCCTAATTCTCCCCAAACAGTTCAGCAACTAAGGATTAAGCATTCAAATATGTGAACCTATGGGGGTATTCTCATTCAAACCACCACACTCTGTGAAAATCAAAGTGTTAAGTTCAAGAAATCTCATCTTATGCTTCCAAACAAAAGCAAACTAGTTGTTTTCTAGAGTTCATAATTATCTTTTTAAATCTCTGTTCCAAACCCTTGCTTCTTGACTCTATAAAAACAAATGTTATTCCTTCTGTTGATCCTGACTCTCTTGTCACACATTCAACCAAGTCATCTTTGGAGTTACTCTTTTTCAATTCCTTCTCCAAACTTAAGGCCCTTTATATGTTTTTTTCACCAGAGGATGACCCCAATTACAATAAACACTCTACCCTAGGTCTCTCTTTGTACTTGAGTTAACCCCTGAGATGCTAGGATCAACGATAGTATATTCTCAGAAATTGTTCTAAAATCTCCACTTAAGGAAGGAATACTGTTAAGAGAAGATGGAGAACAAGTTTCACTCTTAACATTTTGCCACAGTGCTTGTTGAAGAGAAAACCCTCACAATCCATGAGTAAGAAAGGAGAGGACTTCTGAACCTTCACCTTGGCAACCACACAAACATCATCACGTCTGTTTAACAGCCCCAGTCAGATTTGTGTTAGTCCAATTTTCATGTCAGGATGCCAAGTGATATTGACCATCTTGAATAAGTTTCATTAGGTTTACTTTTCCTATATTAATTTACCCTCATGAGAAGATGTGCCCTGGAAATACGACCAAAAATATGGGACATTTTGGGGGTCTTTCTTCATAATCACTGTTATCCTTATCCGATCTGCTTCTTTTAATTATTAAGAACTAAATCTGAAAAATGTCTTGTTGTTGCTTGCTGTGAGTTTTCTATTATTAGCAAGATTTTGTAGACCATGTAAGTGTGATTAATATAGCACTTTCTAATCATAGCCCTTCAAAATAATTCTTCCAGGAAAACTTTGGAAATATGAATTAAAGCAGCACAACAAAAAGGTACAAACTAACACTGTCATAAAAATAGAATTCTGTTTAATGAAAACCTTATGTTTCTTTGGTTTGCTTTTTTTTCCCAAAGAATTCCTCTAGTTCCTCGAATATCCACTTCTCCCGAAAATGTTACCATCAAACCAAAGGTGAAAGCATTGCTGAAGGGCAAGATTGATCCATCACTAGAAGGTTTGGAAGCTAACTTTGAGGTAGATGAGAAGATCGTAATAGACACCTGGCAGCAGGCTTCTGTGGCCATCTCCCACATGGTAAGCAACACCTGTAGTTGTATTTCTTGTCAGTAACCCTACTGTTTAAGTGGCATGGTTGGTAACGTGGTACAAGTACAACATTTATATGATAGTCACAATCATGGTATAAAAATTCATGGCTTTCAGGAATTACCATTATTAAAGGAATTATTGAGAGATATTCTTCCCCTGAAAGAAATAGGAAGTTAAAAGATATAGTCAACAAGTCTTTAAAAATCATGAAAGAAGTCAGACAATACGTAGATTCATTTTAGTGCTGGCTTAGGTTGCAAATGCAGAAGCCTACATGTCAAGAGAATGTTAAGGAGGAAGGGCAACTGGCAGATAAGACAGTATGAGAGGGTGTGATGGCGGCCCTATGGAAACCACACCCTTGTTGACTGGGACATGTGCTACCTACCCTGTGCTGGCCAACTTTGTCATCTAACAATGAGGTCCAGCATGGCCAGATTTTTATTTCCTAGAAAAAAAAAAAATAACGTTTTGGTGGTGGTGGTGGTGATTTTTTTATTTGTTTGTTTTTATTATTTAATACTACTGATTTTAGTTTCAGTGAGTAAAACACAATTCTTAGAAGTACTTTACAAAGTCATGAAAGAAAACACAAAGCCCAGTTAGCCCATCGACTTCCCAACTCCAACCGGTCTGCTTGTTATTTTCTCTAAATCACAATAGGGTAAGTATTATTATCTTTTTTACAGTGGAGAACTAAAGTCTAGAAAGGTAGACAGCCTACTGCTTGGTTTCTGTTCTACTCACTTAGCTTTTATTTTCCTCTTGTGCCAAGCATTCTTTGATTTTACTGAAGTACACCATCTAATCAGAAAACAGTATCAACCTTCCCAAACGTCTTTTGAAAGACTTGGAAGAGGAGCCTGCATCATAATCTCACAGTAGGAGGTCCTCCTTAACTTCCCTTGGGCTTTTCTTTGTCTGACCTTACCACAAAACAACAAGGTCTTCTTTCTTCCCATATTTCTTTTGTTCTCCTCAGCTCTCTTTTTTTCTTTCTCTCACAGAGTGATCTCAAACTCCTCTTGTCATATTTGTTTTAAAGAACCTTTAAATGTGGATGTTGCCCACATTAAAAAAAAAAAAAATCCATGAAATGTAATTAATTGTCTGGCTTCACAGACTCAGTAAAGTATTACTCACAACACCAGTACACAGAGAGGAGTGGAACTATGTGTGAAGGCGTGTAGCTGCTAGGTCTCCTCAGCTCCTTCCAAACCTTAGCCCTCTTAAGAAAACCACCCCCTTGCCTTTTCAATCAATCCTTTTCTGACCCAAGTCTGTAACTTCTAAACGATATATTGTATTTGTGCCTGCCTTTGAGTTTTAATGCAATGGACCTTTTGTCATGTTTGTGTGTGTGTTTTTATTTTTTAGGGCATTATTCTTTTGAGTAGTCTCATATTCTTGAGTGTGCTTGTGTTCTGTTCATTTTCTTTGTTATGTGGTGTTCTGTTAAATGATTGTATCACAATTTGGTTAACTGAGCTGCTACTGACCCACACTTGGGTCTGTGTTTTGATGCCATTGGACACAGCTACTGTGAACATTCTTACACATATCTGTTAGTACTAATGAGTATACAAAGCCTCCTTAAGACCTGGGAATATATGCTGTCATCTACACATCACTTTCCTCTGTGTGTGTGTGTGTGTGTGTGTGTGTGTGTGTGTGTGTGTGTATTTATGTATCATTGCTTAATGTGTATATACTTTATTGTTCATATGTAAGAATTATATAATTTACCTTTCTTGTCATATAGTGTATATTTATGTTTCAAATGTGTATAAGAGTGTATCTACATACATAGCATTATTTAAATCTTTCCTTTTATTCTCATTACATTTGGTTTCTCTTTAAATTATCAAGAGCTGTGCTGAAACTGTACATTACTAGAATGAACCTATTCCTTTCTATCTGCAATTTGATTGACTCTTGCCTTATGTATATTTGAGACCATGAAACCAGGCCCATGGAAAAATTAAGATGAAAAACTTTTCTAGTGAATTGTACATCTTATTTGGGAATAATCTTTACTTACAATGAACTTTTTGGAAATTACACTTGGAGATTATTTACATATATTTGTCTTTTAGTATCTCTATTTAAAAAAACAGTATCATCCACTTGTTAGTTTTTGCACCTCATAAGTCAGGATGTAATGTACTCAATTACTACTCTCTTGGTGGCCCCCCTGGAATCATGTAGTAAGTTATTAACCACATTTATTATTTAGACACTCCAGGTACTATTGTTAGAATGATTGCTAAGTGAATTATTTTGTATTATTTCGAAACAAAAATAAGGAAAATTAAATAATTTAAGATACTTAATATAAAAGGAGATCAAATATTTGGAATAAATAGTAAAGAGCACAAATCAAGATACTAGATGTAGATCCTAAATATATGAACATTTATATTATATTTTTTTAAAGATACAGATAAAAAGAATTACCATTAGATTGTTTAAACAAACAAATGAACAAAGGACTAACTAGATGGCTTAGAGGGTAAAGGTACTTACTGCCAAGCCTGAGAGCCTGAATTTGATCCTTCAAACCTCCACGGTAGAAGAAAGAATTCGCCCTATACATCAACTTTTAATTTCCACTATGGCACACACATATGCATGCTCACACACATAAACAAGCAAACAATAAATAGATGTGAATGTAATATTTAAATTGACAGTTTAATGTATTTATGTAATGAACTTCAGTCATTTTCATCATCCCAGTCTCCTCCTTCATCCCTGCTCCCTCTACTAGAGCCAGCCTTCCTCCTCCTCAAAGAGTCTTCCTTCTAGCATCATCTCTGCCTTTGGTTGGTGGCCCAATTAGAGTGCAGTCTGAGTCAGCTGCCTGAGTGTGGGTAAGGAGCCATTCAGCAGAGCAAGGGCTGCTTATCTGTGGCGACAACAGTGAAGAAAGTGACACCCTCCTGCAGCAAGCCTCATGGACCCCTCTCTCACCCATGATGCAGCACTGATTGGCCCAATCCTAGGCAAATGTTGTGTAATTAACCACAAATGCAATGGGTGCGTGAATGCAATGAGTGTGTTGTTTCCAGAAGACAGCATTTTTACTGCACATCTTCAGTTCTTCCAGTCTTTCTGCTTCCTCTTCTGTGATGTTTCCTGAGCCTTCGAGAGGGATGTAACTATATATATATATATATATATATATATAGAGAGAGAGAGAGAGAGAGATAGATAGATAGATAGATATAGATAGATATAGATAGATATAGATATAGATGGATAGGTAGATAGATAGATAGATAGATAGATAGATAGATAGATAGATAGATAGATAGATAGATGGATGGATAGAAACAAAAAGAGCATGATATGGCCATCCCCTTTGCCACTATAGAACCCCAAACCTTGACTTAGAGGCCCAGAGACTCAGCCTCCCTGTGTCTTGCCCTCACTAACTCTTCAACCTTGTAACTGACTGAATCAGGTCTGCTCATTTTTTCCTGTACCATTGTAGTGCCATGCTTAGTGTTCTTTGCCCTCCTAAAATGTGGACCTCCTACTTGTGCTTGCTTAGACCCTCTGGAGTTTTATTTGTTTGATTTTTGTTTGTTGTCCTTACATCTAGTTCCAACCTTGATGGTCTTTATTTCTGCGTTTTGTTTCCTGAAGCCCCTGCCCTCTGTGAACCTAAGTTCTTCCTATCTTGGTAGTTTCTAATGTTCCTCCCGGTGACTTGGCTCTCCTAGTACTCATCGTGTGTGTGTGTGTGTGTGTGTGTGTGTGTGTGTGTGTGTGTGTGTGTGTGTGTGATTGGTGTGCATGTTCATGTGTGTAAGTATGGGTATGTGCCTGCTGTAGTGCATGTGTAGTGGTCAGAGGACAACATTGGGTGTCTCCCCACACTTCCCACTTTCTTTGCAACATAGTCTGTTGCTTGCCTCTGCCTCTTCCATGGATGCATACCAGGCTAACCATCTCATGACCTTCAGGGGATTCTTCTGCTTCCACCTCTGATCCCGCTGCACGGAGACTACAGAGGGCCAACGCTGCCTCCAACTTCGTGCCATTTCTACAGATTCAAACTCGGGTCTTCACCCTTGCTCAACAAGCACTCTATCCACTAAGCCACTGTCCCACCCCTGCTTTGTAGTTTTTATCCTGCTAGTGTTTTCCTGAATACTTAACTTGGTTCTACTACTATTCATATACATTGATCTCGTCCAATGCCCACACCTAACACAATCCTGAATTATCAGTAAGTCCTGAGATGCTGCTGCAGCTGGTGCCATACTCACAACATTAAAGTCAATAAAAAGATGACGATAGTAATGATTACCACAAAAAACCGCAGGCACCAAGTCCCAGAGAGTGGAAAACAGGTACAGATTTACTAGGAAGATCATGGATTATTTGCATTGTTAATAGATGTTCAGAAGCAGAAGGGGCAGGTAACACATAGTCCATTAAAATTACCTGGGAAAATACTGCATTCTCAGAGAGATGAACATATGGCCAGAGTATTAGCTGCATCTCACAATTAAACATGGTCTTCTTTGTTTTCTTGGAAAATCTGTTAGTTCTCTAAGTCTTCAATTTCTTCTCTGTAATTAAAAAAAAATTCTCAGATGATTGAAAGAAGTTCAGGGAAGTAATGTATATAAAAATGTTTTAGAAACTATAAATATAGTTCATTTGCTAGAAATGTACTTAAAATTATACATTTTCCCTTTGTACTTTGGAATGTCTCATAGCAAGTATAGGAAAAATAATCACTTAATATCATTATTATTATTATATATGAATTATATATGATTTCAGAATTTTGTGTTGCAATAGACTTCTATAAATCTAATGTTATACAATTCAAAGCAGACAAAAAAATAAAAGATAGTCGTGAGTTTAGCACCCAGACCTTTGGGTGATTAAACAGTGCCTTGCTAGAAAACAAACATTTAAGGGAACTTTGAGTTCCAAATGAGACAGGTGTGACTCAGAAAATGGATGTAGGCAAACAGTTCCAAATGAGATTGGTGCAATTGGAATGAACTGCACTTTAATTCAGGTTTTTTCTAAGGGGCAATTTTACCGAAAGCTATTCATTTAGTGTGCTATGTTAATTTTTAGCAAAACTTTCTAATTGATAGGTATGTAATGATTTCAGAGAAGTCATATTTAACACCCACCATGTCCAAACATTATGTTTAAAGTTCTTACCAGCTTTAGCAGCTACTTTAAAGAAAGTATTCTAAATTCTTCTAATTTTTAAAAGAGATCTGGAGGTCTTTGAAAGAAGTGGACAAGAAAAATGCTAAGGATAATTATTACCTTCTTCATCATCATCGTCATCATCAACAACAACATCACAAGTTTGTTGCCAAGGAGATAAGTCCAATTTTAAAGGAAATTGCTAACTTACACTATTTTGCAAGAACAAATTAAAAACAAAAAACAAATTACTTGCAATTTAATGGGGGGTGTTAACAAGCAAGGTTTCAACTTTACCAAGAACATGAAAGTACAGAAATTCATGTTTATCAAAAGATCGTCTGGGGGTGTGGGGGAAACAAGCCAACCAAACTGGCTTGTTCTGTATAGCTTTTCTGGATATCTCAAGTGCTAGTGCTCTTGACAGATCCTTCTGCAGCATCTTACAATTTTAAAATAAAAACCAATTACTTAAGAAACATTGTCCTCCATAAGTAGAGCACATGTACCTAAAGTTATGGAGAGCACAAACAGGTCTGGGGGCATGAAAGCCCATTAGGGTGACAAGGCTTAACACCCATGGAATAGCTGGGGACAGCTACATTCTGGGCCATGAGCATAAAGTATGTCAGGAGTCTGGAGAAGGCAGAAACTTACTGGCCTTTTTGCAAACAAGATTGCAAATACCTTTGAGGGAAATATGCCTTGTCCATATTTCCACACATCTCCTTTATTCCTCTTCATTTTCCTCATTCTATTAATCTCAAAAATCCTATCAGATCTGAACCTCACAAATGTTTATATAAATATGTATAGTCTTATTTATTCTCATTCCCTGACCTCCAAAATGCATATGTGTTTTATATACTCCTTTGAGCTCTTTTTCTGAGGTCCCATAAATAATATTAACTACTCCAATGTCAGATAAACTTAGTTCTTAGTTCTAGTATTTCTAAAAACAGAAAGGACCTGAGTGGCACAGTCCTTAGATAGAGATTTTCTATAGCTAGATAGATAGAAAGATAGATAGCTAGGCAGACAGACAGAGACAGACAGAGGATAGATAAAGAGATTTTTATATGTAATTTATATTCTTAAATTTTAAATTTATAAACAGTTAATTATATATATATGCTTATAATTTGATGTTTTGATACTGATAGACATTTGAAAATGATTAACCAAACTAGTAATGCATATACCAGTTCACTTACTTGTCAATTTTTTTGTGGAGTAAACATTTAAAATCTGTTCCTCTAGCAATTTTGAAATGTAAGATACATTATTCACTTCTTTCACCATGTTATGTAGTAGGTATATCATAACTCCTTTCTTCCATCTGACTAAAATATTTTACCCTTTAACATTTTTCTCTACACCCTATCCACCTTCAACCAGTGATAACCACCAATTCAACTCTACACTTCAATAAATTCAGTGTGTGTGTGTGTGTGTGTGTGTGTGTGTGTGTGTGTGTGAGAGAGAGAGAGAGAGAGAGAGAGAGAGAGAGAGAGAGAGAGAGAGAGATTATATAGTATTTATTGTCCTGTTCTTATTAATAATGTCTTCTGGGTTTATTTATGTAGCCCTGATACAAGGCTTTCTATAATCTAAAGTTTATAGCAAGTCTTAAAAGAGAGAGGAGATGAAGAGGCCCCTGTAAAGCTCTGTGTCGCCTCAGTGTGAGGATGTCATTTCCCCATTCTGTGACCAGCATAGAGTGATAATATAGCCATAATCCAGACATTCATGAGAGTGAGAGACGGATTAACTATAATGGAGACACTTGGAAAATCACTGTGTAGAAGAAGCTAGAGACTATGAGGTCAGCCAGCGGCAAATATCATCTTCATAAACAATGAACCTTCTGGGAGGGTGTCCAGAAGTAGAACGGAAGTAGAGGAGTGAAGTATTTATGATTCACTGATGTAGGACATGTATTCTCCAGAACTGGCTAGAGGGACATGAAAATTTTATCTATACTGCACAGACATAAGATGTAAACAAACATGCTTTTGCAATATGACAACTTCATAGGACAATATTCAGCTAGGATTAAAATGTAAAATAAATAAATAAAATCTCCACAGAGGGTCAACTATGAAATAAAGTTTAAGAAAATGTGCCGGTTATTTTTCTGTCAGTTTGACACAAGTTAGAGTCATCTGGAAAGGGGGAACCATCATTTTGGGAATTGTCTTTTTCAGATTGTCCTATAGACAAGCCTGTGGGACATTTTCTTGATTAGTAATTAGTATGAGGTGGCATGGTCCAAGGCAGGTGGTCCTGGCTTGATTAAGAAAGCAAGCAGAGCAAGGCATGGGGAGCAGAGTGGTAAGTAGTGTCCCCCTGTAGTTCCTGACTCTATGCCTGATGGAGATCCTACTTTACCTTTTGTTAATGATGGACTGCCATTGGGAGGTGCAAACCAAATAAACTTTTTCCTCTCCAGGTTGCTCTTGGTCATGGTATTTATCACAGCAGTAGAAAGCAATCTAGAACAGAAATGGATATAGTCAAGAATGCTTCTCTTAGACTCCATGAGATAACAGGAACTTGGAAGATGATCCAATGCTAAATTCATAGAGGTGGTGTTAATCCCACAGATTCAAGGAAAAAGATCACTGATCCAAATAATGGCCAAACTAATTAAAGCAAGCTTTTTTTTTATTTGTGTACACAGGCTGTCTCTCCCTAAGGTGAGGTTCAAGAGATCACCTTTGGACATGGGGAAGATGGAGGCTTTTATAGTTCCAGGAGTAGGGGGTTTACAAATAGAAGATTTGGCAGACAAATAGCCAAGGTTACAGAAGCACAGCATAAGCATAGCAAGTCGGTCATAACAACCTCCTGAAACAAAGACATGGTTGCGAGGTGGTCATAACAAGGAGGCTATAACAACCTTTTGAAGCAAAGGCAAGGTTGCCTTTCCTGGAATAGGCAGCACAGAGCCATTTGTGGACAAGGTTACAGGTGGGGCATAGCCCAATCCTTGAAAAACAGATTTAATCGTAAACAGGAATGAAGTTAGTTTTTACAGTAAGATGGCCTTCCAGCCTAAGATGGAGGCAGGCTGGTTTATCAGTGGAGACAGAACTGCATGAACATGTGCAAAACCCTACATTTGCCTGCTTAGAGTTCAAAATGAATGCACATAAAAATGCATCGCTAGCTGGGCAATGGTGGTGAACGCCTGTAAATCCCAGCACTCAGGAGACAGAGGCAGGCAGATCTCTGTGAGTGCAAGGCCAGCCTGGTCTACAAAGCAAGTTCCAGGACAGCCAGAGCTGTTACACAGAGAAACCCGGTCTCAAAATACAAAAACAAAAAACAAACAAACAAACTGCATGGCCATCAGGGATTAACTAGATGAGAGCCTCCTTTCAAACAGGGGACTAGCACTTGGGGCTAGATCAGCCAATCGTAGAGAACTGTGTGCTTCTCAAAGGGCGAGAACACGGGCCTCATTGTCCACAGAAGAATGAAGCTCCCATGAAATCTAAGTGAGTAAATCCAAGAGGTTAGCATATTTGCTGAACATCCTCCTAACTGAGATACTGCTACCCTGACAGGTGGCTGCTGAAATCCATCAAAGACACATAGAAGAAGAAAAAGAAACGCCTCCAGTGGATTCCAAAGAAAAGTCTCCTCAGTCAGGTACAAATAAAAAAGCCAAGAAGGAGAAGGAGGCACCCAAGAAGAAAAAGGCAGAAAAGAAAGGAAAAGGTATTCATGGCACTGGGACCCGGTCACTTCAAACCTCTTTGTAGTAAAGGAGCCTTTAACCAGGTGCATTCGCCTCTCAGCCAGGGTGCTAGTCATTGTTTTAAACTGTGGCTGCAGTTGGCAAACCGCTTTGCATATGAACACCACCTAATTCATTTAAGCAAATGGCAGATGTAAACAGCAGATGTATATCTCAAAGGCAGCTTTAACCATATTAGCACTTGTGACCCAAAAACCTGGGCAGAGGGGAACTGCTATCTATTACAGAAGTTAAAAGGCTCTGTGTTTACAGGTCTCAGCTTTTAAAAAATGCTTTAAGAAGTGGTAATTCTGCAGTGACTAATTTATCATTTCTTAAAATTCCATAATCACTTCTGCATTGCTACTCACCTTTTTTTCTTAAGATGAGACACAGCATGTTTTGTTAGGAATGAAGACCAGAAAGTTCTCAAAGAATTCTCAATGAAGGGTTGTAAATACTTGGTTACCCACCCCAGAGAGCCCAAAGTCCCTTGTTCCAAAATCTCCAGCAGTTTCGGACTGTACAGATTTTGCTGTGGCATCATATTGTCCAAGCGCCGTGTCTATAAACTCATCGGTTGGTAATTCACTCACCACATTTCAGTGACCTTTCAGGTAAATCATCACCCGTGGCAGAAGTCAGTCCTATCACGATATCGCCTGAAGAGCTAGCCGAAATCGAAAGGAAGAATGAACTGAAGCTCAAGATTAAGGAAGAGCATCTGGCTGCCCTGCATTTGGAAGGTAGGAGGAGGAATCAAATAAGATCATGCATTCAGTAGAGAATAAACCAGCAGCCAAACAGCCCAGACAGGGCTCATCGGCAGTCTCAGGCTGGTTCCTTGAGAACTCAAGCAGACATACTGAAAACACACCATTCACATGGTTGTTTTTGTTTGACCATACGAGGCCCCGCTATTGTGCTGTTGTATGAGTTAGATGAGTCTGTATTTAATTTAACCTAATTTATCTTATTTATTTATTGAGACGAGGTCTAGCTTTGTAGCCCAGCCTGGCTTCAAGCTTGCTATGTAGCGCTCTCTGTTCTTGAAGTAACAGTTCCACTGTGTCTGTCTCCTGAATGCAAAGATTACAAACGTATACCACTGTGCCTAGCTCCCTAACTAATCCTGTTTAACTTATCAACAGGGTGTCAGAAATCTTTAGGAAAGATAAAAAGATCGTAATTCAAATTTCAAAGACTAGAAAAAATTAAATAAATTGCAAGTTGGTATGGTTTTATGGGACTATGGTAGAAGCTGTCTAATATCGATGGTTTCATATTGCAAAAGAGTAAGTCACTTCTCTCATTAACAAAATAAATCCTGTACCGCTCAGTGGTTAAGAGCCTTGACAGCTCTTCTAAGGGATTCAAATTAAATTCCTAGTACCCACACGGTGGTTCACAGCCATCTATAACTCCAGTTTCCAGAGGATCCGATGCCTTCTTCTGACCTCTGCTGGAACCAGGCACACACGTGATGTACATACATATTAGGCAGGCAAAACACTCATACACATAAAGTTTAAAGAGTAAATAAATATTTAAAAAAGAAAAAGAGAAGAAGTCCTGGCCTAGTAAGCTCTGAGAACGAGTTTCTAGGAGCAAAGACCAGTCAAGAGCCTTCACATCTCCCCTAAGTTTAAGGGTTTTTCCCCCTATTCTTAGCAATGACTCTGCCTATTCTCCCATGGCTCTTCTGATTATCTTTTAGTGCAATTCAGAATGGAATTTAGAATATCAGGACTTGAGCAAAGATAGTCTATGGAAAGGAATAATTGTCAATATCCCAGGTAACAAAACCGTAATGTAAGCCAGGGCACAGAGAAGCCACTCAAATGACCCATCCATTATTGTGGGATATTACTTTAACTATGCAAAGATGTGTTACATTTGTTTATGTTGAGGAATATTACTTTAACTATGTAAAGGTATGTTACATTTGTTTTTGCTGCATTTGTTTAACTATGTAAAGATGTATTGCTTTGTCTGCCTAAGGCAGCTGATGGGTCTAATAAAAAGTTGAATGGCCAATAGCTAAGCAGTAGATGGTTAGGTGCAGCTGGTGGGCAGAGACAATAAGTAGGAAGAGGACTATAGGCCCCAGGGAGAGCCAGGGAGAAAGAGAGGGAGACACCAGCCAGCCAGACACAGAGGAAGCAGCAAAGTTGGACATACGGAATGAAAGAAAGGTAAAAAGCCCAGAGGCAAAACATAGATGAAGAGAAATAGGTTAATTTAAATTATAAGAGCTAGTGGGACAAACATAAGATAAGGCTAAGCATTCATAGCCAACAATAAGTCTCCCTGTCGTGATTTGGGGGCTGGCAGTCCGAGAAAGCCTGCTACAATCCATGGAGGAGAAGGTTTTTATTTTAGATATGAGAGAGGGATTAGCCAGAAGCCTTTGGGGGAAATCCAAAGCATCCATGACTACCACTCTGGCGCAGACTGGCAAGGGCCAGGTCGGGGGCAGGAAAAACACTTGTGGATTATAAAGAAAACCCCGAATAGCTCAGGGTTGGGGATGGAATCCTGTGAACTAGAATAGCCTGGAAGTTTAGGGTGTTGGGGGAGGGGACTTGTGGCCCAGTGGCTTTGCTCTACACCTTAGGTATGTACCAATAGGGAAGTGGCTTTTCTTGGCAGGCAGAAACCACTTTCACAGGTCCCTGAGACATGATGAGAGGGAACTTCTGTCTACCATCAATCCTCTCTTAGAGTCAGCTTTAGCTGAGGCAAGACTGTCATTTTGGACCAAGTCAGCAGATCTGCTCTTTTTGGGAGTGCTTGGTGTTTTCCCCTTTGATCCTAACATATAATATGGCTGTGTTGAGCCAACTAGGTTTTTCAGTAGGGGAACATTAAATAAGAATGTTTTCTAGCTCTTGTTTCTGTTTGTTATTCTCCCTTCACCCCTCTACCCACTCTACCATCTGTAAATGAACGTTTCCAGTCCTGACGGCCTGTTCCCAAATACCCAGCAGCTGCTTCCAAGTTACCACACAGAGGCTTGTATTAATTAAAAATGCAAACCGGGCAGTGGTAGCCCATGCCTTTAATCCTAGCACTTGGGAGGCAGAGGCAGGAGGATCTCTGTGAGTTCAAGACCAGCTTGGGCTACAGAGTGAGTTCTAGGAAAGGCACAAAGCTACACAGAGAAACCCTGTCTTGAAAAAACAAAACAAAAAAATGATAAATGCTCAGGGAGTAGCTCAGGCTTGTTACTAAATAACTCTTACATTTAAATTAAATCATATTTCTATTTATGTTTTGCCACATGGCTCATGGCTTGTTACTTCATTTTCTACACATCCTGCTTGCTTGGTGGCTAGCCAGTATCTCTCTGGACTACACCCTCCTTCCCATCATTCTCAATTTGGCTTTCCTGCCCAGCTACTGACCTGTCAGCTTTTTATTAACCAATGAGAGTAATACATAGTCATAGTGTAGAAAAGGATTTTCCACAGCATTTCTCCTTTTTGTCTAATAAAAAAGGAAGGTTTTAACCCTTAATATAGTAAAACTATATACAACAAAACGGTTATTAAGTAAGAAATACAGTACCACTACCTAATCCATTTGCATTTGGCAAAATTAGACAAAATACTTAATTACCTATCTTATCTTGGTGAGTCTAAGTTTTTGTATCTAATTTACTTTCTATTATAACTAAGGAAAACTACATTTATAATTATCTAGTCTTCAGTTCTCTCAAAGACCTCAGAAGGGTGAAATATTACCACAGGGACATCAGGCTGCCTGGACAGTCACCCAAAGTTCCTCTGTAATGTTGGGGCATCCAACTCTGGCCTACAGGCTTAGCATAGTTGATAGACTTTCCTGTGAATCAGGGAATTTTGAAAGACTGTCCTACCTTGTCTTGGCAAAGTTCAGTAGTCACCTTTCTTGTGTCGTGCTGATCCAGTTTGGACAGTAACTGTCAGTAGTTGAGGCAAGAGCAGATTCTTGACCACATGGCTAGCTTTTGCTGTAAAGAAAACAAACTTCTCATGGCATTTCTTCAATGCCCATCATCCTCTTTGAAGTAATTGATGCTGCCAGGAGCACACCTGTCTGACTGTTGAGAAAAGTCTAAGTTCTTAAAACATTTTAAATGCCATATTCTGTACGTCTCTGAAGTGTTTGAAGATTTCCTGTCTATTTGAAATATATTGCTGTATGACCTTGAAAACCTAACTAAATAGCTGTAAGTTTGCTACTGTAGATGACTATCAACCTGTATTTCTTAATTATACATTATATTTTTAAATGAGCTTTTTAAGTGCAATATCCTAAACAAGAGTAAAAACATACATACAGCATAACAGAAATAACTTTAAATTTGTATCAATAAACTAAAATTCATACCAATATACAATATCCTGAGATTATTAGCTGTTTTTCAGATTAAAGTAGATTCAATATTCTGTCCTTTTATCCTATTTCTATATTCCCCCTTTTCTTTTTACAACAAGATCCCTGAATCTAATCTCCTTTGCTCAGCTTTTTTCCTGACCATTACCAATAACAACTTATAACCCCCTAGATGATGACAAACATTTATAACCAATATTTTGGGAATGTGGGACTAGTTCTCTGAACTACTTCCTGTTGATTGAGGGCACTCATAATCTTTAAAGGACCCTGGGAAATTTTAGGATAATGGTTAAGCCTTGGCTGGAGTAGTCTGAGGCTGGATCATTTTAGCCAGCAACCTTGAAGCTGTTCTGGATGCAGAACTCAAAGGAAATCGCAACAGAGGTGATCTGAAATACTGGATCATCTGGGCCACCCATTCCCACTGGAGATTTTTTAGGGGGTCTTCCTTGATCAAACATGTTTTTTCTTAACCCAGAATGATTCCAGAGCCTCTCATTTCCTGTGAAACTAAAAGCAGAACATCTTTCACAAAGTAACATATCTTTTGACTTAAATTTTGAAGTCAATATATTTTTTTAATATATAGGTTGGTTTAATCTAGCAGCTCTCATAATCAAATGTCTCTTAGCAGTTATCATTTGTTCATTAGTAGTCAAAAAATTTAAAGACAACACAATAACTTACAGTATCTAGACTCTCTGTATATTTTCAATTTTTATATGGCTTATTATATTTTTTGTTACTCTATTCCTTTTTTAAGGACTTTATTTTAAAACCATATTTTTTATCTAAGACTGTATATATCCTTTATTTCTCTCTCCCAAGCCTATGAATATTTTTTAAATGCTCTGTGACCCACGTAGAGGCTCTTTTTGTCTGTATCTGTTCTTACTGCACATCTGTAAGCTTTTCTGTCTGCATGAGCAAAAAACTGCTGTGTAGTATAGATCATGGAATGCTGGTGCTGGCTCCTCCCTCTGGGTTCCCTAAGAGTCTAGTCTCATGGCAGAGTCATATTTACTACCAGCTCTGGGAGCCATGTTTATTGCCCCAACTCTGGGAAGTCTCTAGGTCCATGCTGCTGCCAAGTATCCTGCCACCTGCTGCTCATAAACACCACATATGTGTTGAGTTGCAGGACCTCTTTTTTTTTTTCTTTTATTTTACAATACAATTCGGTTCTACATATTAGCCACGGATTCCCTTGTTCTCCCCCCTCCCGCCCCTCTCCCCTTCCTCCCAGCCTACCCCCAATTCTCACCTCCTCCAGGGCAAAGCCTCCCCTGCAGACTGAGATCAACCTGGTAAACTCAGTCCAGGCAGGTCCAGTCCCCTCCTCCCAGGCCAAGCCAAGCGACCCTGCATAAGCCCCAGGTTTCAAACAGCCAACTCATGCAATGAGCACAGGACCCAGTCCCACTGCCTGGGTGCCTCCCAAACAGATCAAGCCAATCAACTGTCTCACCTATTCAGAGGGCCTGATCCAGTTGGGGGCTCCTCAGCCATTGGTTCATAGTTCATGTGTCTCCATTCATTTGGCTATTTGTCCCTGTGCTTTATCCAACCTTGGTTTCAACAATTCTCACTCATATAAACCCTCCTCTTTCTTGCTAATTAGACTCCTGGAGCTCCACCCAGGGCCTAGCTGTGGATCTCTGCATCCAGTTCCCTTAGGACCTCTTAAAAGAGCTGCCCTTTTTTGCTGCTAGCACTGATCCAGGAAGCCATCTCTTAAAGGAGCACTGCCTCTGTTCACCACCAGTAAACAGAGCCTACCACAGAAAAGGGAGCTACCAAGAAGACATCCCTGATTCCGTTCTTGTGTGTATGGAATCCTTTTTTAAGCTTTGTCAGGTTTTATGTGGAAATTTCAGCTCCATGTTGAAGCACCATATGTAAACAGATATTTCCTTATGGATGTTTTCTTTCCGGACTGCCTGTTGACAAATACCTGGCAGCCACTTCCCAAATTACCACACAGAGGCTTATATTAATTATAAATGCTCAGCCAATAGCTCAGGCTTGTTACTAAATAACTCTTACATTTAAATTAAATCATATTTCTATTTATGTTTTGCCACATGACTCATGGCTTGTTACTTCATTTTCTACACATCCTGCTTGCTTGGTGGCTAGCCAGTGTCTCTCTTGACTACACCCTCCTTCTTCCCATCATTCTCAGTTTGGCTTTCCTGGCTAACTTCCTTCCCAGCTACTGACCTGTCAGCTTTTTATTAACCAATGAGAGTAATACATAATCATAGTGTAGAAAAGGATTGTTCCAGAAAAACCACCACCTACTCCCATAATCCAGTGGGAAAATCAGAAATGACCTGAACCCAGGGAGCTGCAAGGTATCTGGAGAGTAGAACATATGTTTCTCTCTTCAGTCTGTCTTCACACCTGATTCCAGTGGCTTCCAGTATGCTTCATCTTTGAATTCACCCAATACAAGATCCTCAATGAGATAAAAAAGTTTTCCTCATGTTACAAAAATTATCAAGTTTTTCACTGCAATCTGTGTCCTGTGGTAGCTCCCAAGACATATGTGCATATGCATGAGCTTAAAACAAACCAAAAAGCATAATCAAGCTAGAAGAAAAGAGATATAAGCAGTTGAATATAGGCATATGGGACAAGATGGGGAGGCATCAGGGAAGACTCCCCAGAGGAACTAATGTTAGCTGAACCAGAAGAGTATGGGGAAATGTGCTCAGGAAACAAACCAGGGGCAGGAATAGAAAGCAGAGGTATGGGACAAAGCAAAGAGGATATAAAAACTACTCAGTGAGTAGCTATGAAATGTAGGAGATAAGCCAGGAAGGAGTGACTTGGGGACTGGGAAGTCAAATCATGGATTGTCATCCATCAGACCCTGCCTTAATAGCTAGAGATGTAAGATCCCTTCCCTGTAGAAGCTGGGTGGTGATGACACCTGAGCAGAAGTGTGATTGCACTGACATCTGTCAGAAGGCAGATGGCTCTGATGACTCTGAGTACTGTGGAGGTGGATTTGGAATTGAAGTGGGGAAAGGAAGGGAGGGAAGACCCAGTTAAAGCTATGGCTTAAGAATGAATCATTACGTGATCCTGTAGATATCAAACTTATTAAAGAGTGTATTGTTAAAAGAGCACTACTAAGTATAAACCTCATGAATAATCTTAGTTTAAATTCACAAAAGACTTTACTGCACATTTCATTTTGCTTCTCTGAGATAGATGACACCTTACCTACATTGGTGTATTAAATGAAACTTGATAAACCAAAGTGTGATTGGTATAAGTAGATTTGGGTCATTATAAAAATGCATGTATATATAAAATACATTAAGAATTTCACTTTCTCTTTTATTGTTTGGTATATATTGACTTTACAAAACAAGAGGCTTCATTATGATCTTTTTATACATGCATATACCACCATTTGATCATACCCATCCCTCATCACTCTTTCTTGACTGCCCTGTCCCTAGTATACTTCCTCTTTCTAAATACCCTCTGTTCTCCTTCCACGCCTTTTAAAAATACATATTCCATATGAATAAGAAAGCATACTACTTGTCTTTCTGAGTTCAGTTTATTTAGTTTACCAATTTCTCTTTTTAAATAGAAGTAGCCACACAATTTCGTCTGGAACTAATAAAGACAAAAGCTTTGGCCGTCCTTGAAGAGTTAGTGACAAAGGTGGTTGATGTCTACAAGTTCATGGAAAAGTGGCTTGGCCAGAGGTATTTAAATGAAATGGCCAGGTAAGTAAAGTTCTCCAACAGCTAAAAAAAAAAAAAAAAAAAAAAAAAAAAAAAACAGAAAACAAAAAACTATACTAAATGCCAGAAATGAAAAAATTAACAAGGGTGTTTAAGATATCTACAGATTTAAATTTTGTAAAGTGTGTGTGTGTGTAAAGTTTAAGCTTCAGGCACTCCTATTACAAACACTCAAAATAAATGTCACCATCACATTCGTTTTGACTATTTTCTGGCAGTAAATTGTGCATCAGAGGGCTCTGTTGTGATCACATTCATTTTTGAGTTCAGTTTTCACTCACTTCAATGGGAGCTTTAGTCTGCAAGGTAATGTTTAGGTCATTTTAATCCAGGAGACTGGGATTCTCAAATTATCCGGAAGTGAGTACCGAGTCTGATTGCTTGGGGTTCATCGGCTTTATCTAGAAAAAAGAAGAACTCCAGCTAGGCTACTGCACCATTTTCAGCCTTAGCTAGATCCTATAATATATACATTAAAGGGTAGATTGTAAACATTTTCTGAGAATTTTGCAGTTGTGTGAGAATGGGCATCCAATGGCAAATGCTCTCAGAAGCAGTAATTACTATTTGTAAACAGCTTTTGTGTCTCTCATCATGAAAGTTTTACTGTTAAAGCCTTCAGCCCAGTTGTTCAGTGCTGTTGTTCCACCACAGAAAGTAGGAAATAGAAAACTATCCAAACACACTCATCCCCATAGGGTAACCTTGCTACCATTATCAGCCAAGCCACTTACTATTAGCTTTAGTGATATTTGGTTCTAGTCTGTGCCTGCCACAATTCATCTGAGTACTTAGGGATTCACAGCTGGCATCCATGTGTCTGTGCATCAAGTGTAAATGCATATTAATTCTATGTGATACACTTACAGTTCTCATATTTGTTTTGTGTATATCTACGGCTTCTGAATCTAAATATGCTGTGTCGTGTGACCATAAGAAATCACAAAACATGAAATTAAAAAGTGCTCCTGATGAGAGAGGGAGAGGGAGAGGGAGAGAGAGAGGGAGAGAGAGGGGGGGGGGGGAGAGAGAGAGAGAGAGAGAGAGAGAGAGAGAGAGAGAGAGAGAAGAGGAGAGGAGAGGAGAGTGCATTACTGTCAAATCCCTTAGAACCCCAAATCTATTTTCCTGGCATTTTCTTTCTTCTGTATTAAAATCACTCATAGTAACCTTCCACTAGGTGGTGCACAGCCGTTTGATATTCTGGTTCTGGCCAAGTTTCAGCCTGTGTAGGGAGACACCCTTTATTTACGTAAAGTCAAGTTCTATGTGATACTCTTCTTGTGTGTCTCCAAGCACCAGAGAACTCTAACGCACCATCTAATTAGCAAATGTTGTATGGACATTCACAATGCGCATTAGGAGTAGTTGGATTCAAGAGCATCTCTTCAAGGACAGGAACTTTAAAACACTTTTTAAAGTTTCAGTATATAAATATTTTTTTGCTCATATGAAAACAGAATAGGCATGCATTATCTTGTGATGTTCAATTCCAATCTTTCATCATAAGAGCAAGATAAGATCTTCTTTTCATTACAGTGGTGGTACATTTAGTTATGTCTAATACCTAAGGCACCTTTAAATTGCATTCCATTAGGCCATTAACTATTAATTGACTATTTATATCCATGATCTGTGTGATTTCTTGTAAATCATCCTAAAAGAGGGAGTAGATAGTAATGACTTTACATAAAACTGAACTATATTAGCTACTTAATAAGGATGTGTTTTGTTTTTTATCTTTATTAATTTGTACCTTGCCTAGGATAAATTAAAAGCTTTAAATACCTATAAAATCATCTAACTTACCATGCAAAGTGTTAGCTTTTTTTGTGTGTTTTATTAAATTAACTATTAATCTAATAATAATTTCAATGGAGATCACGCTATTCATTTTGCTATTTTTAGTATAGAGAAATTGACTGAAGTAGCTCGCTACTACATTGAAACAGCTACAAAAATTCAAAATGAGATTTATTTAGGCCAAGAAGAGTTCTACATCAATGGAGACATAAAAGTCTTCCCAGATGCTATCCCACCAACCCGCCCTCCACCAATAGAAAAGGAAGAAAATGGGACCCTGACAATCGAACAGCTGGACAATCTCCGAGATCAGTTCTTAGATATGGCACCTAAAGGTAAGACAAGAATCACCACTGATGGGACACAAGGTGACTAAAATTGCCTGTGGTGGCTGTTACTTTGCCAGAAGACCAGTGAGCTCTGTTGGAGTGTGTGGCATGTCAAGGAGATTTTACTCTGTTCTAGTCTGTCAAATATTTGCTATAAATGACATTCATCTGAATTAAACAAGCAGGAAAGTTGCACTGACCGACACTGCAGCAGTGTGGGAGTGTGGCAGTGGTCATCCCTGGCAACTCTTTTCTCCTGGCTTCCTCCTCTCTTAGAGGCACACTAGTGAGCTTGACTCCATTCGACATGTGGAAGATAATCTTTGTGAACACTTCTAAGTAGAGCTGTATTGGAGATGCTGAGTTTGTGTTTCTATCTAGCCAGTGAGGGGATACTAGGACGTGAAGGATGTCCTTCTTAGAATGGCCTTCTCCTTCAGTGCCTCATAGATCTTGGGTTGAAACAAATGAGTTACTGGTAGATACTTGCCTAATTAATTCATTCACATGTATGCTTACGTTATTTTCTTTGCACAAATTCTTGAATCCATTCGTAGTTCATCATTACAGTTCTATGCCTTCTACATTGAGTCCCACCAATTAATATCCTGTGTAATTCAGACTGATGTGTGTAGGATCACCATCTAAAATCTTTGGGATCAAACACTCAGTCACAGAACAGTTAAGCAGTGTGTCTATGGCCATATAAATTTTGGACTCTGCTACTCAAGGTTCCTTCATCTTATATGTGAACTAAGTTGTCTTTCATAAATAGGTTTATTTTACTTCCCTAAATGTCCTGATTATCTGGAAACCATCCCTCCTCCCCAGAGATAGTCAATGAGCTTTAATATAAACACAGTCTCACTTTTTGAAAATTAGTCCCAGTATTTTCAGAAATCCATAGGAAATATCATTGATAATAACAGTGATAACTCACTCTATAGGTTTCCTTGCAATGGTCAATGGGTATGAAGGTGTACATATGTTTGCTTGTGTGAACACATGCACTGACATGTGTCAGCTTACCAAAGAGCTCGAGAAGTCTTTATACCTCCAATGTATAAAAAAACATAATGTGTCTAAGGATAGACATGATGGCAACATTTGAACAAGATTAATGTGGACAGCAGCAGGTACCAAAAATCCAACTTTGTCAAAAGCCAACTCAGAAATCCTGTTACCATCTAACAAGGCAGAGTCCATCCTTTTTCCCCTTAAGTGAATTTTGTGATGGCTTTCAAACTTTTATTTTAGTGTGTGTGTGTGTGTGTATGTGTGTGTGTGTGTGTGTGTGTATGCCTTCATGCAGTGTGTGTACATACATCATGTACATGCCTGGTGCTTGTGGAGGTCAGAGACAGGTATCAGAAGCCGTGGAACTATGGCTACAGGTAGTTGTGAGCCATTGTGGATACTGGGAAATAAATTTAGGTCCTTGAGGTAAGTGTCTCCAGCCCCTACAATGCCCTTTTGTCACATCATTTCATTTTGAAATTGCAGTAGCTATTCATTTTGTGCAGATGAATTTCTAAACAGTCTTATTAAATAAGAAACACAGAGCCAAATACAGAGTAGCCAAAGAGATCAGAGCAATAGCCACGACCAGCTTTAGCTTCCAGAGAGAGCTTCTTCCTGCCTGACCTGTGCTTTTATTGCCTTCCTGTTCTGCCTTCTCATTGGCTCGAAGCCCAGCCACATGACTCCTCGTCACTGTCTGTCTATACAGACCTCCAGGTCTCTATGGTTGGTACTGGGATTAAAGGCTCGTGTCACCATGCTTGGCTGTGTCCTTGACCACACAGAGACTCTGCCTGCCACGTGATCAGATTAAGGGCATGTGCTACCACTGCCTGACTTCTGTTTTATGGCTATTTGACCTCTGATCTCCAGGCAACTTTATTTATTAACATACAAATAAAATATCACATTTCAGCACAAATAAAATATCACCACGATTTTGTCCATGCTATATTCTTTTACATGCAAAGTAATGGTGACTGAGAGGGAACTATATAATATAGTGGGCTAACGAAAAGCATTTAGAGGCATTTGAGTAGGTGGAAGTAGACTTTTGAAAATTTTAAGTCATTCTTAATTATTTCTAAAGGGAGCCTAGTATTTATGGTGAATATCATTATACATTCTTCAATATAGCCTCAAAGTCAAAGATTACATTCCAGCTAAGAGTTTAAAATAGCAAATGGCATTTGACAACATGACACACACACATATCTCAACATATAAACTCTAGGAACATTGAAGTAAAAGTATGTCCGCAGATACAATTTCTCTTTTTTCTTAATATACTAAATAGGGTAGAACCATTTTCAGACAATGCTGAAACAACAAGAGTGATGTCTTGGTCACTGTTCTATCGCCGTGAAGAGACACCATGTCATTGGCAACACTTATAAAAGAAAGCATTTAACTGGGGTTTGCCTAGAGTTTCAGAGATTTAGTTCATTATCATCATGACAGGGACCATGGCAGTACACAGGCAGATGCAGTGCTAGAGAAGTAGCTGAGAGCTCTGCATCTGGATACCCAGGCACCAGAAAGAGAGTGACACTGGGCTTAGCTTGTGCTTTTGAAACCTCAAAGCCCACCCCCAATGACACACTTCCTCTAAACAAGGCCTCATCTCCCAATCCTTCTCAAGCAGTGCCACTCACTGCAGACTAAGCATTCAAATACATGAGTTTATAAGGTCTTTCTTATTCAAACCACCACAAGATAACTGATAGGGAAAGAGGAAAGTAAGTAATAGCTAAATTTTCTTTAAACATAATTAAAAGAAAACCATTTGCTATGGTAGAGTTAGGGTGTGGCTTGAAAAGACAGACCAAGGAAAGTATAATATAAGGCAGTAGGTTAATTATGAGACAGAATATGAAATTTAGGAAAGTGCCCATGAATGCAAAGTAAGGGAGAATTGGTGTGTAGGGATCAAGGGGGAAAAATATGGTGAAAAAGATTAGCAAATCTAAGGCATCATGGAGTAATTGGTGACAGGGATGCAGAGGGTATTTAAATTTGGAAGAATAAACTTTAGAAAGTGTATAGCGAAGAGAAGAGGAGGATGAATGTTGAGGGAATTGTCAAGAGACTGACCTGTATTTCCTCCCCCAGTTGTATGAAAACTGCAGGGGAACAGATGGTGGGTCTTTATCAGAGGAGTGCCCCCAACACACTCCGCTGGAGAACTAACCCACACATGGATATCTGTTGTCATTTAGACAGAAGGTACAGAGCCGTCTATGAGATGTGGGGTTTTTGATGATTCAAAGTTAGTTATGGTCTAACTTTGATCATATTATGAGCAAACAATACTCCAGTTGAAAAGAAGGTGCATTCTGTATGTTTATGTTAGATATGTGCTAAATACTTAACCATAGTTTTGGTGTCTCCTCAGCAGAAGTAATGTTCATTGTCATTGCTCTTGCTGTTGATTGCCTAAACATGGCCTGCACAAGACCACTCCGGCCAACACTGCAGCACAGATGGAAAGGCTCAAAAGGCTCCACGCCTAGCTGAGGAGCTATAGTCTGTGGCTACTGAAAGGGGAGTATGTTTTCTTCAAGTCAAGCCCTCCCATAAGTAGGTTGCCCATGCCAAAATGATTAGCCATATTCATGTGCATTTGAGCAATACCAACAGCATTTATCATAAATGTGTGTATATTTATTTATATGTGTATATATATAAATATATACACATATATGTATTTCTTCTCATACATATATATGTATGTATATATAATACATATATTACATGAGAAGAGTACATGTATTTAAGAGGCAGATGTGAGTGGGAGGAGTTCTTAAATAACCATGTGAAGTTTTTATTTAAAGGCAAAGACTCTCCAGATGCTGTGATTCCAGGCACCAAAAAGCAGAAAAAGTCACGAAAACTTGACTACTACCTACCAGAAAGAAATCATCAGTTTTTGAAAATTTGGCTAAAAAAATACCCCTGGCTTGTATATGATGAGCTATTAAACCTTATGTTCTGTGCCCTGTGTCGTAAGCATGGAGTAAAGTCGGGGGGAAGTCAAGTGAGTTTTTTTTATGGCACGGACAACTTCAAGGCTGAATTTCTCAGTGCACATCACCTCAGTGAAGCCCATGCCAAGGCATCCCTGATGGAAGCAACAAGTGGTTCTCCAGTGAACAGAGCTGCCACTGAGCTGATGGTAAGGACCATGAGCAAAGTGACTCTTGGGAGAGTAGAGAACTTATTTAGATCATGCCATGCTCTAGCAAAGACCGGACGTCCCCTCAAAGACTTTATTTGGATGTGTAAGTTGGATGATATGAAGGGTGTTGATATAGGCCCAGTCTTCAGAACTAATAAGTCAGCAAGAACATTTACATATTTCATTGCCGAAGTAGAAAGAAAAAATCTAAGAGAAAAGCTAGAAAAAAGTAAATTTTTCTCTGTCATCACTGATGGAATTGTAGACAGTTTTACTGAGGAAGTCACAATGGTCTATGTTCAATTTGCACATTCAGGAAAAGTGCAATGTCAGATTGTTGGGGTACAGTCAGTAGAACAGAAGGACCCTTTGACAATGAAAACTGTTATCGAGAAAACTCTAGAGACGAATCTTCAACTTAGGCTGTCAAGTCAAGACTGGGCGAAGAAGTTGGTTGGTTTTGGAAGCGATCATTCCCCTGGAATAGAGGGAGAGAACAGAGTGGCCCTGCTTTTGAGAAAAATACAGCCATGTGTGCAAAGTGTGTATTGCTTTGCACATCACCTAGAACTGTCTTACAAAGCTATGTTCCAGAGTATCCCTCTGTTCAACAGCCTCGAGGAACTCCTTACCAATATTTACCACTTCTATCACCACTCTCCTCTCCTGAAGAATTCTCTGATAACTGCCTTCAGAGGCCTCCACCTTCGACCTGTGATGCCTTCTCAAATAGGAGGCAGACCGTGGCTTTATGGACTGCAGGCTGCCCTCCAGAACTTTCTAAAAGGTTACCCAGCAATTGTTCAGCAACTGCATTCAGTAAGTAATTTTGAAATATGTTTTCCAGAACATCAAGAAGTAATTTTACTGAATTCTTTGGAGTAAGGTTTTTGAGATGGAGATGTACCCACCATATCATTCCCAACTTGTATTACAGGCACAAAAAGGCAAAAATGATACCAATCAACAGAAAGCTAATGAACTTCTAGATCTTGTTCTCCAAGCTGATATCATCAAATTTGCTCATTTCTTGATGGACATCATTAGTGTCCTTAGTGTTCTGTCCCGTGCCAGTCAGAACAGAAATTCTTCAATTGCAGATGTATTTGCTACCTTGGAGTCAACACTGGAATTGCTCCAGATATATCAATCAAGGTGACAGGTTGAGAACATCTGAGGGTCTGTCAAGGTAGACAGTTGGACTTGGGGAATTGTTTTCCAGGTATGCGCCCATTTAATTCTTTATTTGGGTGATCTTCTCCCAGACCAGGGCCAAAAGAACGAAGGGTGGATTCAGCCACACACTTTCATGGTAACTGCCTCAAGGGGAAAGAAAACATTTCTACTGTGAGAAAGGTGGTTTTAGCACATCTTATCAAGAGGCTGCAAGACTGCTTCAGAGATGCCAGCCTAGATGTGGTGAGAGCAACCATGATTGGAAGCTTTAAACTATGGCCCACAAAGATAAATCCAGGTAACCCATCGGCACCAATAACTCTGAACTCACTATTCTTTGATTGCATGATGTTAATTTGGGTATGTGACATTTTTGTCATCTGTATGGATTGCAGAATTTGGAGAAAAAGAGATATCCATCCTGATTTCACATTATGAACCAGTTCTAGAAGCTGCCAATGTGAAAACTGATGAAGTAGACACAGAATGGAGCATGTTAAAATTAGAAATATATACCAGGTGAATAAGAAAGCAAACTGAATAAGGTGACATGTATCAGTAGCTGGGTGAAAGTTAGGTCTCTCAATCTTTCCTGTCCTTCATCTTGCCTCCTAGATTTCAGAACATTCGGAAGCTGACCTGGGATTTTGTAAACTCCATTTACTCACATAAGTATCCAAATATCCTAACACTTGTTGACTTAGTTCTGGCCCTCCCTGCAAGTTCAGCAGAACCAGAACGCGGATGTAGTCAGATGAAACGCTCCCACTCATGCATGGATGAGAAAATCAAGGCTGAAAGCTTGACAGACATCCTAATCATCCAGCTGAACTCTCCAGACATCAGCAGCTTTGACCCTAGGAAAGCTATACATTTATGGACTACAAGAACACAATCATCAGTTGCCCATATGGGACCCAATCTGGACAGCTCATCAAACTCAGAAAGCCAAGATGAAAGTGATGAGTGATGGGACTTATGTTGACTTTGTTACTGATCACAGCAAAAACAAATAAATAACTTCCAAAAAATTTAAAGCAAAGTAACAGTCAGTCTTTACCTCAGACACAAAAGACACTTGATATTTTCTAAATATACAGAGGTACAAAGAAAAAAATCAAGACTTGTTTTTCTATAACTTTCTGACTTTGCTTCTGTGTTGGAATGGTTTTTGTTTCAATTCTTTGGTGAAGGCTGATACTTCTAAGCACTATTTCAATATTATCTTTCTGAGCATTTTCTCTAAGGGTGAGCAGTCTGATGATCTTAGTTATCTCAGACTTGCCATACAACTGACTCTTGTTCCTAGATAGTTCTAAACTCTAATTGCAGTGAGTAACTAACCGGGCCAAACTGATAGAATTTTTAAAAAATTTATCTCCAAACAAATTTTGTCATTGAAACTCTTATCAACGGTATGTGAAAGTATCATATGCCTAAATGCCTTGGACAGCTCAGTAAGAAGGTTAAATGTTAAAGTGATTTTCACATTTGACACTAAGATCTCCAGATAAACAATTCCTATGTAAACTGAAAATATCATTTTGCAACATTTGTTTCCTAATGTTGACATTAGAACATATTGTATAATTACCAGAATTTTAAGTGCTTTGATTCTCTTTGCAGTTTTAATAGATTTTATTTGTGGTTCTAACATCTTAAAGGACATGGCTAATTTATTTATATAATCTGAAACTCGTGGCATCATATAAACTTTTATTTCCAGGGAAATTTTTTACCCAGGAAAATGTTCTCATGACTAATATTAGATGTTTCAGTGAAACTAAAATAATATAAAAATCATCTCAGAATTGCTTGCGAATGGTTAATTATATCAAAAGACTGAGAGTGAACTCTCGACATTCATCATATTACCTTACAGATCTTGGAGTTGTACATGTGGTTAGAATCATTGACATTTTAAAGGGATAACTGCATTTCCCTAGAGGTTAGAAGAAACAGTGAGGTTCAAGTGGACTTACAGATATTATGAAAACTCAGATGTAAAAGGAAACATTAGAATGCTATGTCTAATTCACCTTTGTTATTTCTGAAAAAAGAACAGCTCTATACAGTGTACCTGCCAAATACCTGGATATATGTAACTGATCTCTCATAATTCTAGAAGGTACCTTTGCTCTGTGTGTTAGCTAAACGTATTTGTTGTTGTTTAAGTTTATTTATTTTGCTTCTCTATTTCTAGTGCATGTGCATGCAACTTGGAATAAGAATCTAAGGAGCTGTGTCTTGTAGATATGCTAACATAGATTAGTGCACAAGAGCAAGGCAGTTGGATGTTTAGTGGTATTTTATGTTTATTTAGAACCTGCAATCTCATTGAATTCAATTCAATAGCCATCTAAATCCCCCTGCAGTTACAAAAGCAAGCAATTGCTAACTGGAGGACAGACAGGGAGATGGGTGCTACCTTCCTTTTGATTGTCATCTTGTTTGTATGTGTTCAAAATATGAAATGTTTTATCTCTGTGTTTTACTGGGTATAGCAAAATTTAGCATGTCTTTTAAAAATTCAACCCACTTGAAACAAAATATCAAAGAAGATTTTAATTTCAGAATTATGCAATTTCAATATTTTCTCAATCAGGAATGTCTTTTTGTTTGTTGGTTTTGTTTTTGTTTTTTTGTTTTTTGTTTTTTTTTTTTTCTGGACCAAAGAGGACTCTTTGGAGAGGTAACAAGAACATCAGAGTTTTGCTTTTGTTTTTTAATGTTTTTAAAGTAACTTCTTTCTAAAGTAATGATTGCAGTGCTAAATAATTAAGAAAGTCAATAAATAATTGTTTCCTTGTGTTGTAGGCATCATAGGAAATAAAGCATTCACTGACATTCTGTTTGATTTGGTGACCCTGAACTTTGGAACCAACAACTTTCCTAGTAGCTGGATGCACCTCACCCAACCTGATGTGAGCTTCTGCTTCGTTTGGGATCCCAGAGGCTTTGATACTGGTCTTACTTGATCAGTCAATAGTTCTAAGAGAACTAGTGCTTACCCAACTAGTGGCACTATCGAGAAATCTATGAAATTCAAATGAGTGGATGAATTTGAAAGTAAGACATATAATTGATGACCAAACACTAAACTATTTCAGAAACTAAGAGTCAACTGAATTATTATCAGTTTGCAACTCTCTTAACAAGTAACAGCAGATGATTTTGAGAGTCCTTGTTTCTCACCATCATCTTATAAATGCCCTAGGAAATACAATAGTTACAGTGCACTACCCTGTCAGTATGTTACATTCCCAGTCTTTAACTTTCCACTGGTGAAAAGACACAAGGTTAACTGAAATCCCATGAGTAAATTGAATGAGTCACAGTAAACAAACACCGTAAATGCCAAGACAGCAAAAAAGAAATAAAATCCTTTCTGGTTATTAGCTGATGTGGATCGGTTGTTAGAACAGAAAATGAAAGTAAACCTGAGCCAGAATTGGCTCTGCTTGCCAATACAAAATCCCTCTTTCCTTAGAACCAAACTCTGAAAGCCTTAGTGGGAGGAGCTTCAAGTTAGTCACACAAACACTCCAGTGAGATGCCCTGTGTTCTTCCAGTTGCAGGAGATAACATCGTTATTAACAGTAAACTCAGAGTTTGTGGACTGGAGGAAGTTCTTGATGGTCACAGCAATGCCATGGCCAATGCCCCTTGAGGAGGAGCTCCTGGAGACCCTGCAGAGGTTTAAGTACATGGATGAAGCACAGACAGGCACCATCACTTTCGAACAGTATAAGCAGGTAGACCAGTAATACTGAAACCCTTTGTCCTAACAAGGATCCAGCTCACTGAAGACACATCACATTTCAGATCACTGTTGTGCTCCTTAGAAGCTCAGATGCAGCCAGCACAAACAGAGTCAAGGTCCTAGGCAAGAGTGTGACTTCCATCCTCAGGGAAAGCATCAGAAAAAAATAAAAATAATAAAGCCAAAATTTTCTGGAGAACTAACGATCCTTAATAAAGTCATGAAAACTTCACTATTCTTCTTCTGAGTTCTCAATCAGTAGTTAATTGCCTATGGATGTAAATTAAAACCACATGCAGGGCTTTAAATAATCCCACTGTCCAGTACCCTAGACCCCCAAGAATAGCAAGAGCTGTGGTGAAGAACATGGAGGCTGAAGGATGTTTGTTCTTTTCCTTTGGGATGAGGAGGCTAGTGGATGATGGGACTTGTTTTGACAGATTGAGTTTAAAATGTCTATGACTATGCAGGCAGAAATTTCCCGTCTGATACAGCAGGTCAAGAGGCAGTTCTAAGTCACTGCTATAGAAATGGATGTTGAAAAACAGGAACAGATGAAATCACCTAAGGGAAGTGATGGGTAACCCAGAACACAGCACCTGCTCTTTGTAACTGGTGGCTTGTTATAGAGCAGGATTGCTGGAAGTTTTAATACAGAAGCCAGATTACAAATGATTGAAGAAAATAATTGGTCATTGGGATGATAAATGGTGATAGATAGATAGAAGTTCTTCTAGTCATCAGGTCAGATATATGAACATTTAATCCATCTTTTTAAAATTTGAATGTTGTGATTGGTGATGGAATGCTATAAATGACAGGGGTGCCTGAACTACTTGTTTTTGTCTCTTTTAACTGAACGTAACTTGTCCATTATTCCATATCATTAGAGACAACAAAGGAAGGAGTCACTTATAAGGCCTTAACTTTGAAGCAGGGTGCTGATCTGTAGAGAATTTTCTCCCGTATGTGTGTGTGTGTGTGTGTGTGTGTGTGTGTGTGTGTGTGTGTGTGTGTGTGTGTGTTTTCACAGAAAGCTTACAGAGCTTCCAGTCTTGTCTTGTTTAGAAATAATAGGTGGCATCCTTTTCATCAGGTAGCCTAGAGGTTCAGGTGCTCACACACTGAGCCAAATGAAGAAACACTTGAATCCTAATGAGTTTCTTTAAGGCTGATCAAGATGCTAGCTTGGCTAATTGAGCTCTGATGTATGTACCTCTCAAATAGCAAATTAGGAAGGTCACCTAATTTGTTATGATGATTTTATTTGAAAATGAAAGCAGCAGAGTGAAACTTACACTGTATCCAGATAGCTTAAGATTTTTAAGAAGTGGACATTTGTGCAAACCTTAGTTGTTGGTTGACACAGGATATCAAATTGAGCATCATCCTTTTACAAACAAGAGAACAAAGGCTGCTGGCAACATTTCCCAAAATGCTGATCCAAAACTAGAACCATCCTTCACCAAAAGTGTGAGTTTTTTGCAGGATGTTAGACGATGCATCTAGGAGAACTCATGTATTTATGTGGTCACTGTGTTTGGAGAATTGTTGACTGTCTCCCTTTACTTCCCACTCCCAGATCTCTCAGGACACTGAATGTGCACTTGACTTTACTGCATGCCTCTCTCAGATTTCAAACACTCAATGGCTCACACACACACAAAAAAAAAAAATATGGTGTTTCATGGGGGAAAAAGTCAAAACCATTTCTAGAGGAAAATTGTATGTGATCTATTGAATATGTCACATTAGACCAGTAAAATAACATAACTGTGGCGCTGAAATCAACTTTTCTGGGAAGGAAGAGCTATCTGCTGTGCTCTCTGTTTGCCTGCGCCCCTCCCTTGCAAGTTCACCACAGCAGCCGTTAAGACATGTGCTGATTTCTGAAACTTCTAAAATGGAAGTTGTCTGGACAATGTCCTGTGGTTGGGTAATGAGCTTCAAGTCTTGTTTGCCTCCTGCTTCTGGTCCTGTTGTCGCTGTCACAAACGGTCCTATGTAGAGGAATACTCAGACTGTGGCATTGTGTAATTTAGACATGGACAACATGTAGAATCATATGCTGTTGAGGCATCAACTTGTCTTTTACTGATGAGAACATATAGTTACCACGAGCTCAATCATTCAGGTGTTCTAGGACCAAAATGAACACAGAACAACTTCTCTAAGGAAACACAAATAGTCTAAATTCTTTGGTCAAGTGTCAGTATAAGAGTGCCAAGAACTTTTTCATATTTTAAAGAGAAATAACCTATTAATCCAGTAAGACAATACACAGTTAACTGGATGTTGCTTTGCAATTTAAGCACATTACTGCATAGATCCAAACTTAAAATTTCACATCACTAAAATTTTTGAGACTTTGGAGTTATTTTGTATAATTTTTGTTGCTGTGTCTTCAAGTTCATTGATATTTCCTCTACAGAGTAGCTTCCTAATGACATCATCAAGTATATTTTCCCATCAGATACAGTATTGTTTTTTAATTTGTTAGTTGTAAAAGTGTCTCCTTTCCAGCATAGAAAGGAAACCCATGCTTCACTTCTACAGGAAACCCAGGGATACCGTTAATGATTACAAAAAGTGCTATCAGTTCTTGGAAGGAAGATAAGAAGGCACGGAGTGTAGACAATGTAGTGACTCTTGGGAGTAGATAGTATTAAGGACTGCTTATCACTCTGGAAGACAACCTGGGTACAAATTGTGTGTGTGTGTGTGTGTGTGTGTGTGTGTGTGTGTGTGTGTGTGTGTGTGTGTGTGTGAAGAGCTTACCAGATACAAAATTCTAGTTTCTTAATATATAATCTTTTAACCCAACACTTTTTGTGTGGTGTTAATTGGCAGACATGAATGACAACTCAAACAAAATGGAGGAAGTGCCAAGGTTGTGGTATAGTCAGGTCAAGTGGAGCTTAAAGGAGACAGAGATTAAAGGAGCCTCTCTGTGTGATCTAAGCCTGGTCTAGAAAGAAGTATTGATTTTTATGAGTGAAAAGGAGTGCAGAAGTCACCTTCAACACAAAGGATAATGTGATCTAAAGACTAGGATCAGACACTGGATCTGAGTAGAGACTGGTGTAACAGCATTGAAGGTCTGAGTAATTCAATAGGGTCACATAAAAAAAGTAACAGAGACTAGAAACGAAAACAAAGAACTGAGTGGCTGATGCATGGCAGAGGTCATATGGCTGTAAAGCAGGGTAGTAGCAGTGGAAATGGAAAGAAGGAAAAGATGGCGGAGGCATTCTCCAGTGGGAATAGGAAGACACTTTGAAGATATGACCAGGATATGGGGAATGAGGGCTACGCTTATCAACACATAGGCCCCCCTGCAAAGTGTAGCCAGTAAGAGCTTAAGCTGCGGTAGTAACTTCCCAGGGATTTTCACACTCCAAACACTAAAACATAACTAGAATTCCTATTATGTTGACTTTTATTTGTGTAATATATGTTGGTATGATAGCACTAACAGATACTTTATCAAATATGAAAATAAAAATAGCAAAAGAATGAGATTAAAAGTAATGCAAATGCAAATCTATTATTTTCTCCAGACCCTTTGGGTCTCCTCTACCCTGTATTTTGGAGATCATTAGATGGAGAGTAGAACAGTATTCTTTAGATCTTCGGCTTTAAGAGGAGATGTTACCTCTCTGCACACTATATTAAGGATTTTCATTATATGTAAATATATTTTTGTTTGTTTGTTTGTAGGCGGGTCTGTGGTTTACAGGAGATGAAGATGCAAAAGTTCCAGATAATCCCCTTGATCCCTTGCCATTCAATAGGCAGGAACATCTTATAGAGGTAATTAATAAGACTCTTTTTATTGTTATTATTGATTTTTTTTGAGATGATTATCATTCTGTAACTCAGAATGTACAGCAAGCCTGGCCCAGCTTCAACTTTCCAAATACTGGGCTTAGAGCCAGAAACTCACCATACACATGTTACTCAGATAATTTTTTTATGTAGTATGTGGCAATGGTTATTTTCTTCCATTCTTCCCCTTGAATTGAGGAATTTTCCCTGATTCTGCACTTACTTCTTAGATCATTTGTTGTTTCTCCAAAGTCCAAGCTTTAATGCTCATTCAGAGAATTGTTCCTTGTAGATAAATTCTAGGAG